TGATCCATGAAATGAGGCTGAGGTCAGGTGAACCCTGTCTGATGGACATGTAGACGTTGCAAGGAACCCATATACCAAATATAGTTATCCTATTACTCATAATAAGTGAGAAATTTACATAACAAAAAAACTAAACTTTTTTTTCAAGAAGTCGCTGAACCATGAAAATAAGGTCAAGGACATTGGACATATGACAGACGAAAAGTTCGTAACATAAGGAATCTGCATACAAAGTATGAAGCATCCAGGTCTTCTACCTTCTGAAATATAAAGCTTTATACAAATAGTTTACGCCGCCGTCGCCGCCGCTGGATAGTAATACCTATGTCTCACTTTCTGCGACTTTCGTCGCAGGAGAGACAAAAAACTGTGACCAATGTTGCTATGAATCCTTTTTATTTTCAGATGATTTTAACCCAAATATTTTATTCGTCCTAAAATTTCCTATTTATTTAATTTTTAACCAAATTGAATCATAGATAATCATCATGTGTTTTAACTTTTTACACCAGCTGTTATGCCAGGAGAAAGCAAAATATAACTAAATGTATCAAAAAATAAAGTTATGACCATATAAACAAATAAACTAGCACAATTCTGCTTCTTTCAACTTAAACACCTGGCTTGTATAAATCTAACTTTAAATGCCATCATAATTTTTTTTTATTTGATGAAATATGGTGCGCAAAATTGTCAGTGACGAATAGATTTGTTCTTATGTCCATGTACTGCAGTTTTTAATCATGTTAAATAATATGCAATAGAAATTCTCATAATGATACTTCAAAGATGAGGATTCTGTCATGGCCAATGATTTAGTTTTATCCCAAAGACAAAGGTGCAAAATAGTCTAACTTGGTTAAGACTTTTAGAATCAAGACACGACTCTTTACATAAAAAAATCTTCTGGTTACAACTGAAATGTTTATTTTGGCTTAAAATTATTATTTTAATAATAAGATATTTTGTGAAATGAGTTGCTTGTTAGGAGTGTTGTCATGGTTATGATCTCAAGAATCTGCACTTTGAAAAACTACCAAAATGAATAACATGTATAATGATGTTTTTACCTTATCTGAAAAGAAAGACGATTTGGGGTATATATTTCAATTAGACAGCAACCCATAACAAAACAACAGCAATAAACTACTTCGCCTAGCACAGCTGGATATGACCGCAGAGGTCCAACCCTGAACAGTAAGGGCAAAAAAGGACACAATATTCAAGCTTGATACAGGTATGAATTTGGATTGTAATCAAATATTTAACACATTATAGGTTTCTGACACAGAATAACTGTAGTCAAAGAACTAAGAATTGGTTATATGATTTGAATTTATATAAAAATTTTTGCTTTTGTGTAATACACAATGTTGATGCGAATTGACCTCCCCCCCCCCCCCTTTTTTCCAAAAAAAATAAATTTGAAGGATTTTCTTTTTGATTTCTGAAATCTTGCAGAGAAAAAATTGTCCCCCCCCCCCCAAACCAATTTTTTTTTTCAAAAAAAATTCTTTCCCTCAGTCATGGTCATAATTTCAATTCAAATTTCCAATGAAGTTTGCAATCATAATAACCCATTTAAATACATCATAAAAGTCTTAAAATAGAAAATGACATACATAATCATAGCTAAAATTAATTTACCTTAAACAGCGTTTTTAAAATTATTAAAATAGTAACTTCTAAAAACTGCTTCGCAGAGCGCAGCTGGATACGCCCCTAGAGGTCCAACCCTGAACAGTTGGGGCAAAAATGGACACAATATTCAAGCTTGATACAGGTCTGAATTTGGATTGTAATTAAATATTTGACATATTATAGGTTTCTGAATAAATGTAGTCAAAGAACTTGAAATTGGTTATATGAATTGAATTTATATTCAATTAAAGATTTCTTGCTGTTGTGCAATACACTATGCTGTTGCACAATACTTAGTAAATCTGTTGTCAGACTATAAACAAATAAAATTCATAAAATTCTAGATGGAGCTTACATCAATAGATATAACCAATTCACCAAAGTTTCATAAGAATTGCCAATAGCATTTTTGAGTTATTGTCTGAAAACTGGAAAATCACCCCTTTTTTAATGAATAAACCCCATAAGTCGGAAATGTTAAATCTAAAATTTATAAAATTCTAAAAGGAGCTTACATCAATAGATATCAACAATTCATCAAAGTTTCATGGGAACTGCTGAAAGCATTTTGAGTTATTGTCCGAAAACTGGAAAATCCCCCCTTTTTTTTATGAATAAAACCCCATAACTTGGAAACGTAAAATCTAAAATTTATAAAAATCAAAAGGGAGCTCATGTCAATAGATATAAACAATTAACCAAAATTTCTTGAAAGTTGGTGAAAGCATTCTTGAGTTATTGTCCAAAAACTGGAAAATCCCCCTTTTTTTAATGAATAAAACCCCATAACTCGAAAACGTAAAATCTAAAATTTATAAAAAACAAAAGGGAGCTCACGTCAATAGATATAAACAATTCACCAAAGTTTTATGCAAATTGGTTAAAGCGTTTTTGAGTTAATGTCCGACATGTTGACGACGGACAGACAGACGGACGGACGGACAGACGGACAACGGTATACCATAATACGTTCCGTAAACGGGCGTATAATACTTTCCACCAGAGTTCAAATGAAGTGGATGTAAGCAATTATATAAGCAACCTGACAGCCTTCAACAATGAGAAAAAACCCATACCATATAGTCGGCTATAAAAGGCCACAAAGTTATATTATCACTATAACGCATATCATACATTCATATCAAATTGAAAAATAATGTCAAATTCACAATTTTAAACAGAAAATTGTTTGAATTATTTAATATCTATATAAATCCTAGAAGCAACTTGAATACATTTTAAAATTGTGAAAAAATGTTCATATTTCAACGATCTGAATATTATCTGTAAAGATAACTATGATGCATTATTGTCACATGACTTCTTTATATTTACACACAATTTTTTGGGGGTCAGGTTGGAAATATATTTACTTTTGTGACAAACAGTGTCAAAGTTAATTTTTATGAACAACATATTTCTCTAAAAAAAAACTATTAGCTTAATGTCATTGTAAATATATTTATTTTTCTAAAACTTTGAGGAATTAAGACAAATTACATGTACATGGCAAAGATACAATAAAGTACAAAATTTGAGAAAAAGTTGCAAAACTTGGCACTTGTCACATCCTGAGTGCTTTGTATAATGTTTATTGATAATTCAACATAATGTCTAATTTTATTGTTTTAATTATCATATTACATCATATTCCTGAATAAATAAATCATGTTTATAAACTGAAAAATCTTTACTTTAGGCCAAGAAAAATGAATTGGTAGATTCTTAATACTGCTTAAACAACTATAATACAGTTACATTTTCCAATTTTGCACTTCTAATTAATTGTATGAAAAAAAGTACAATTTATACCAAACTCCAAGGTAAATTCAAAAAGAGGGAAGTCCATAAAACCTGACTAATTCAAATGTTATTTTAAGACTATATCAACTAATGGAACGAATGGAAAACAACTGTCATATTACTGACTTGGAACTGGAATTTTCCAAAGATAATAGTGGGTTAAACCTGGTTTTATAGCTAGCTAAACCTACCACTTGTATGACAGTAGTTCATAGTTCTGTAATTGAAAGTGACTATAATTCATTGCCTTACATTCTTACATGTATGTAAATGTCTGCATGGGTTTGTCTTGCTGAAATATCTTTAAAACAGAAATTTATCTACCTATTTTTATGTGGCCTAATATTAAGTCATGTAGCCATTTTATACAATGTATGATCAACTTTTCTCTCTCAAATTTAAAAAAAAGGGACTGCTTAAAAATAGTTGGGTAAACCACATAATTCTGAAACTAAAATCTTCAAAAAAAATACATGTAGATTCCCAACAATTGACTTGGTTGAGCATATTGAGCTTTTCGCTATTTAACTTGAGAATTTGCATATAAAGGGACATAACTCAAAGAACAAAAACAACAACACTATATGTGAAAAATATTATAAAGGAACTTAAAAGGTGATGAAAGGCTGCTTAGTCTCAACTTTCAAAGTTAAATCTTCTCTAACTGACTTGTCTACATTAGTTGAAACATACTTATTGATATATTGAAAGGAAAAGTTAACTTTTCTATAACAATATGCATGTAATAAAGGTACATGGTTTAAGACAATCCAAATCTCAATATATTAAAAATTTGAACTGGACCTGGTTAAGGTTTACAATCTCATTTCAATGATTAGGTAGGGACTGATTGAATTCATTGACAGAAATAAAATCTACCACATAATAAAGGGCATTAGTTATAAATGACACATACCATATGAAATAAGACATAGTCAAAATTATCATAGTTTCAATAAAAGAGATTACATAAATAATTTGTGCAAGGCTTAATTAAACTTTGCAAAGAAAACCTAGTTTTCAATTTTCTGCATTTAAAGAGAATAACTTCGAAGAAACAAAATGAAATATGTTGTACATCAAAATCTAACTAGCCGGTATACTGTATAGTGTATACATATAAAATGTATACAAAATGAATTGTAAGTATTTCTATAAAAGCAAAAGGAAATGTACAACTAAATCATGTAAAAAAATAGGTAAAATGTATAAATTAAGTATTGGAAATATATTTCAAATTTGAATCTTTGATATGATTAAAATATAAGCATTAAGCATAATGTAAATGATGACATTTTAACATGTATTAGAGTCTGGATGGGGTTTACAGAATAGAGTATAATGGGTCGATACAACGGAAAAATCAGCCAAAAAAATCAAGAATAGAGAAAAATAGGCCAAAATAATAAAATAGTGAATAATGGGGTGCTAAAGTATAAAGAATAGAGAAATAGTGGTAAAAAAAAATACAGAATAGAGAAAAATGACCTAAAGCATTAAAAAAAATACAAAATGAAGGACCCCATTCAGACCCTCATGTATGTATACATACAAACCTTCAGTAAGAAAAGATCCAAGAGCATCCCAACCACCATCTTCACTAAAATTCCAGGACTTAACAATAGGTGCAGCCCAATCAATCTATAATCATAAATCATCAAATTACATAAAGTTATGCATGCAGGTGTTAATTACATATTTGCATTTCTGTACAAACTGATAAATGCCATTATATTAGACTTAGTTGACATTGACATTTACGTATTTGTTTGCATGTAAATACATATCTATGGCAAGACATATACTGCATGTACAATGTATATACTGTTCATGTTTCTGTATAAGTACAAAAAGCTAATAAATATATATAGTTCTCCTGTTTGAATTGTTTTAAACTAGTCTTTTTGGGCCCTCAAATTATAGCCTGCTGTTTGGTGTGAGCCAAGGCTCTGTGCTCCGTGTTGAAGGCTGTACTATGACCTATAATTGTTTACTTTTTACACATTGTGACTTGGGATTATAAAGTTGACTAATTGGCACTCATACCACATCTTCTTATTTATATATATGTCTAACTTTTAAAAAATAATTTCAGGTACATGTCTGTACTTTTAAACGTTTCATAAGTAAAGAAGTGCAAGGTACAGTGTAACATACCCTAGGTATAGTGTGAGCATAGGCAAATCCAGGGGGGGGGGGGGGGCCTGGGGGCCCGGGGCCCCCCCTTTTGTGGGAAAAATTTGGTTGATTATATAGGGAATCACTGAAGCATGACTGGAGCAGGGCCCCCCTTAGGTCAGTCAGCGGGCCCTCCCCCCTTATGAAAAGTTCTGGATCTGCCACTGGTTAGGGCTTTGTTCACAGTTTGGGACTTAAAGGGGGGGGGGACAGTTACATCTTTATTGTGTCATTATTCCTTTTTTACTATTTTCAAAATACCTACCACAAACATAGCAAAAAGTAGACTCACACAAAAGTTTTCCTTTAATACATGTACATGGGGGTAGTTGAAAACTAATAAACACAATGAAATTAAGAGCAGCATGTATTCCCAAAATATTTGTAAATTGCACTAATATACATGTACCTGGGCAAAGCATTAATGATATACCCAGCTGTCTCTAACAATTATTTGTCTTTTAATCATTGAAAAAGAGTGAGGATTAAGTCCAATGCACATAATGACAGGTAAACGGTCTAAAAATCCAAATGTCAGGCAGCCAAATAAGTAATAAAATCAGAAAGTCTTGAGAAATAGCATTACATATGTAAATTAGTGACAAACTGTGTAAACCAAAACTCTGGAATAACAAAAGATAGGTACAGTTTTTAATAATTTATCCATTAGTTTATTTTGATAATTAAAAAAAAATTCCCAAACTCATCTTGAGTTTAAGCATTGTTAAGTGGGATATTTTTTAAAAATAAAATTATCTGAAGCATGAAATGCAATGTATACATGCACTATACTACATATTTTGGTTTGAAAGATACATCTTTATCAGGTAAGCTGGCGAACTAAGTTTTTTCTCTTAATTAAATTATTAAGCCACATTACAGTCATGACAGTCAACCAAATCGACAGCTTCAGATCTTACCTTACACAAGGTTTTCTCTGTTTACTCATTTAACATGTTTAAACCAGATACTACATTTTGTAAATATTGTTAATTTTTTTAAACTGTTTTGAAAAATACACATGTGAAATTGGTAAATACCACACATGTGCAATGACAATTAATTAAGTAATCTACAGTTCTTGAAGTTTTGTTTTAGAATAAGAATAAGATTCCCATAAATCAACTTTTCAATTCAAAATCAGAATAATCCTGATTTTGTGCATATTCACAGTTTATTTTCCAGTTATCTGAGATTTATTCTCGTCAGACCAATTTTATAATGTAATGATTGTACACATACAATGCATTTGAAGGTTTTCATCCAGATTTACTTTACTTAAAATTTTAATTGAAAAACAATTCAAGTTAATTCAAAACTGATGAAGAATGGTAAGCAGAAGGCAAACCCTAGTACCCAAGGTTTATTTGTTCTCTTACACTTACTCAAAACTCTAACTACATAAACTAGGTTTTACTTCTCTACACACATTTAACAATTTTTTTTGCCTCCTTATTAATCTGGCCAACTGTATTACATGTACAATGTACCTGAGTAAAAAGAAAGTTAGTATAAACCTTACCATGCTACCATTTTTTCTTCTTGGCATTTTTGCTAATTCAAGATCATCAAGTGTCTGAGAGTTTGGTATACACATACATTTTGGTAATATTCCTGGACTTTCTATTGGCAGACCAATTGGTTCAACTGAAGACTGACGAGAGCATTCCATGAAATGAGTAACTGAACCTATGCCCCTCATCCCTAGAGATTCTGTGTTTATAGATGATGGTTCATGCAGCAAATAAGAATGAAACCTATTGCACTGTATTCCGGACTTGGATAATTTGTTACATAATGCATCATCTCTTTCTTTCAAAAAGGGTTCATAAACATCATTCAGAAACAAAGTATTTGCACCAGTTTGTAGAATAATTTGCTTCATAATATTGTAACTGTTTTCAGTCTTTGTATTATAATACAATATCCCATTGCCAAACTTCTCAAGAAAGGACTGGTTAAGAAACTGGAGAGCGTAATGGAGCCATAATTTTGTGGCTCCGCCTGTAGCTACAACATCCAATGGATCTTCTTCATGATCAGACCATATAAAAACTAATAACACTGCTGCATTGGATGAGGCAGCAGCTACTAAAGCAGGATTATCATACATCCGCAAGTCTCTCCTTAACCAATAAATAACAGGAGGATTACTTATTTGTCTTGGTAGTGAGTTTCCTTTCTTCTTTTTCTTTTTATGTTTTGAATTTGGAAAATCTGAAACCTGAAGTCCAGGAATGCTAGCTTTCAGATGTCCCTCATTGTTTGCATTGTTTCCATTTAAGGAATGTGGTACTGGTTGAATGTTTTGTCGTTTGTTAAATCTTTTATGCAAAGCTGAACCCGCAGGTTCATTGCTGGATTCATTCAGTAATGGCGTAATGGTCTTTTTAGGATTACAGTCTGACAGAGACAAAGACTTAGCTAGCTCCATGTCAAGTTCAAAGCCAAAGTCACTTGTAAGAAACCCATTTTCAACACTACAACCTACAGCTTCGTTTGATTTTGAATGTAAAGCTTCTGTTTCAGAGAAGTAGTTCTTGAAGACACCAACCAGACAGTTATGTAAAATTGGCTTTGCAACTTTAAGGTTCTCTATAAAGTTTATGAAATGGTTTCTTGTTTTGTCGTAGCCTTCAAGTGACAAGATCATGCAAAAGCATTCGTCTGCTTCGCAATTCCCATTTGAATATTGATTCAAAATCTCTTGAGATTCCCTACCGAATGAAAACCATACAGAACTCATCGTTCATTCATCAGTTATCATCTGCAATGTTTACGTTATGCAATTCTGTTCGGAACTCATCGAACTCGGAAGTTCTCTTGTTTCTTTATCCGTATTGGAATTGGTGCGTTAGAAATTTGTCTTTAAGCGGTGCAGTGGTCAAAAATAATTTTAGATATATATTTAGTTATTTTTGTTGAAAATATATTATAGCGTACTGACGCGACTGTGTAGAAATGAAAGAAAGACGTGTAGATCTCAAATCAATAGATTATATAATAAATTAGCTACCACACCAGCATTTAAATTGCTATTTCTCGAGTTTCGTTTAAAATAAATTATACCGGTAATTTGGACATTCATTGCAGAGTGTTGCACATATACTTTATGTAGTCCTCGCCTGAGTTACCACTGCAGTTTTTTTTTCTTCCTGAAAATTATAAGAGTACCTTTTTATTAATAAATCTTGTAGATATAATGAACTTTTACCATATACATGATATATATGCAATATTGAAAACTTTCAATTATAGCCAACAGACCGTGTTCATGACTTTTATCGCAGTTAATGAACCTGATTTTATTTGTTATTTTCAAGAGAACTCATAAGACAATATAGTAATAATTAACAGGTACGAGTTTGCATTGGTACGAGTTTTTTTTAGTGGTACGAGTTGACATTGGTACGAGTTTATGTAACAGCCACTATGTTCCGTCAGTTACTTTGTTCCGGCGGAACTTTTCAACTAGTTATTTCGTTCCGATGGAACTTTCCAACTAGTTGTTTTATTCCGAGTGCAGTCGAAAAGTTCCGGAAAAAAGTAGCTAGTTGAAAAGTCCCGGAACAATGTAGCTAACAATGTAGCTAGTTGGATAGTTCTGGCGGAACAGAACAACTAGTTACATTGTTCCGAATATACCATATTTCGTCCTTTTTGTAGAAAGAGGGTGAAGAATGAGTATCAGTATATATAAGAGAAAATCATTAATTTACAAGAATACCAAACGCACTGAAAGGGGTTTCTTTGGGGACAAATATGCAAAATTTAAGTTGTATTTCATAGCTCACATAAAACGGAATGAATTGCATTATCATGCAAATTTAGTACCCTCAAGAGAGGGAAGAATACCCCCCCCCCCCCCCTCCTCATGTGGTTCTTTGCATCAATTCTCCAAATGGAACTTTGTGACTGGTTGATAAGTTCCGTTGGAACTTTTGGGCTAGTTTGTTAGTTCCGGTTTTGACTTATTTGCCAAAGAGGAACTTTGTGGCTTGTTGATAAGTTCCTTTTGACTTTTTTAATCAGTATCTTGGTTTCTCTTTGAAAGTTTCAAATATAATATGTTGCGCTTTTACTTTGCATCAATTCTCCAAATGGAACTTTCTGCCTGGTTGATAAGTTCCGTTGGAACTTTTGGGCTAGTTTGTTAGTTCCGGTTTTGACTAATTTGGCAAAAAGGAACTTTCTAACTAGTTGATATGTTCCGTTGGAACTTTTCAACTAGTCACTTTGTTTCGATGGACTTTTAAACCAGAGGGAGAACAAAGTGACTAGTTAATAAGTTCCTCCGGAACTTTTCGGCTAGTTAGTTCTTTCCGCCCGGAACTTTCCAACGTCGGAACAAAAGAGCATTTACATTTACAATGGTACGAGATAACTATAAGACTAATTAACACAACGAATTTGACTTCATGTTCACATTGACTTCATATTAGACAAATTAAAACTTGTATTTTGTTTTAATTTTTTTGAACCTATTTTTTAAAATTGCTTGGAATATAGATTCAAGATTCAAGATTTTATTCATAGCCTAAGACACATACAGGTGTGCAAGAGGACAATATGATTACAAACATAACATAATACATAGCGAGACAGGACAGACAAAACACAAATACATAGTATGTTATAAAAGACAATTGATATAGTTAATTTATTTCATAATTTTCTTTACGATATGCTTATTATTTGACCAATAATAAGTTATTGAAAATACCATTCGAGAGGCAACAGTAGTAAATTACTGTATGCATGGGAAATTGCTAGAAATCTAGAAAGGGTACCATAATAAAATTGAGAATGGAAATGGGGAAAATGTCAAAGAGATAACAACCCGACTAAAGAGCAGATAACAGCCGAAGGCCACCAATGGGTCTTCAACGCAGCGAGAAAATCACGCACCCGGAGGTAGGCCTCAGCTAAGTTTCTTTTGATTTACCGAAAACGGCCGATCTTAATTTTGTCCTCCAGTGCTCTGATTGTCTCCCTAAATATTGAGTTTTATAGATAATTGGGTTTTTTTCTCAAAAAAAAAAGATCCTAGATGAATTTTGAACCCTGCTTTTTTGGGAAATAAAAACGATTGTCCATATTTTTGCCATCAATATATTGAATGTTTATTTCAGTGTTTATAGAAAAAAAAATAGTGGGATAACCAATGAGACCACTTTCAATCAGAGACTAACAGGACGACGATGTAAACAACGATGGGTCACAGTACGGTCTTCATCAATGAGCAAAATCAATAACTTATAGTGAAGTATGAATGGTGAGTTAAGCTAGATGGTGTCATCCTGGGCGTATGACATTTGCGCCGATTTTATAAATTTTCCATCTCTCATTTGCGCCGATTCAATAATTTCAAGTTTCAATTGCTCCTTTTTGCATTTAGTGCTGTGCTTTTTTCATGGCATAAAGAGGTTTTATATTTTCCTTTTAAATCAAGGAACAAAGATATTTTATAAAACCAGAAAATTGTATTCAATTTGACAAATATTAAAAAAAATACCCCAAAAATGTTTATTAGTTTGACAAATTATCGACAATTTTGTAAATAGATTGTTTATATCATTTCATATATTATTGGTATATTCAGTTATTTAAGTGGATGTGGGCAGGGGGAAACAGTTATTTGCATGTTTTAACTTATAATTCATAACCTATGTATAACTGGCTATCGGAAGAGGTTTATAATGATAAATAAAAATAGTTTTCACCAGTAATTTACCATGGGTACAGAACTTACTAGTATTTGTTAGTCCGATGTCAGGAATCTTATTCCTGATATAATAACTTATCAATAGATTACGTTTATTAAAATCAAAAACTTTACTACAGACACGAGCATAGCCAACGAGTTGAGAATTCGTTTATTAAAGATTACGTTATCTTTTACCAAAATATTAATGATTTCATTCTGCAAAAAACTTTTAAAAAATTGTTGAAAATAATCAAGGGCAATAACTTCTATAAGGAATCAAATGACATTTTCGATCAAGTTGACTTATTTGTAGATGTTACTTTGCTGAAAATTTTTGATGTTTGAAGTTTCATTCTATCTATCATACTTTCTGCGAAAAACTAAAAATCTGGTAAAACTTATCTTTCAATGGCAACAACTATAAGGGATACATTGACAATTTTGGTCTTGTTGACTTATTTGTAGGTCTTACTTTGCTGAACATTTGTGCTGTTTGAAATTTCTGTCTATCTTTCATAGTTTCTGAAGAAAAAGGTCTTTCAAGGGCAATAACTCCTATAAGAGATCAATTGGCGAATTACGTTTTATACTTATTGGTAGATCTTACTTTGCTGAAAATTTTTGCTGTCTAAAATTTCTCTCTATCTATAATAGTTCTCAAGATAACAACCAAAAATTGAGACATTTCATAAAATTTATTATTTCAGAGACGATCAATCAAAATTTGGTTGTCAGATTCGTCTGAAAATATCCTCACTAACAGATCTTGCCATGGCTGACCATTTTTACACCATGTCATTACTCTTACTGTTGAGCTTTTGAGATATAAGCCAAAAACTGGGTACTCGGCGCAATTTGGGTACTGTGACGTTAGAATATTTGTTCCAACAGGAACAGATATTATGACATTGTTTATAACAAAGTTTCCAGTGTAACTTCTGTTAGGCGGAACAAATATACGTTGACAAAACAATGTCTGAACTACATATTTGCGAACCGTTCTTCGTCTATCAGAAGGGTAAAAATCGGTCGAAATAATGACTGAGGTATTTATTCGAACGCATCAAATATTTTAAAATGCTTTTCTTTTCTCTTTTAATTCTTTTTATGAAAACATTTACCGAAAGAAATTTGATCTAAAATATGATTTAGGAAAAATATTACAATTTTCTTTTATACCAATTAAAATGCGCCAACCAGATTTTATGCATTGTGACGTCACATGATAAGGATCCTAACAACTTCCTGTTGACAAAAGTGGATTTTCGATTCTCTAAAGCGTATTTTACCTTATAATAACACGTTAGCATAAAGGTTACATCATACACATTCTATAGTAACAAAACTGCACTTACTACAAAATCATTGTCATGTTAAAGAACCATAGTAGTTGAAAGATACTTGTTTCGGTTAGACACATTTTTTTTTACCAAAGGAATTTTAAACAACACAAATTAAGGATAATTTTGTGGAATTCATTGATTGACAATGGACTTTGCAGAGCTTCCAGTGACTCTAGTCATCAAAGCACCTAACCAACGAGTTGGTGACCACACAGTAGAATGCATGCTTGGTTGGACAGTAAAAAAACTAAAAGCACATTTGGAAGAAGTTTATCCAAGCAAACCAGTAAGTAGGTTCTGGTATCAAGTCAATTCATTTCCTATTTAATCCAATCATAACATTGTCCCAAATACATGCAGTTATAAAAGCTTTTACATACATAACAATATTGACTTTCATCATGTTCATAATATCTGATTGAATTTGCCTCATTTGAGTACTTGTCACTTGTACTTAATCCTCTATCTGCCGGTAGTTTTAAATGGTTGGATTTCGTGTGCCAGAATATATGACACCTGAGCATTTGTGACGTTACATGCAAAACAATTACGTCCTTCTATATACATGATATATGAATTCAAGCCCCAATGAAGTGATATAGGGGACCCGTCACCCAGTGAAGAAAAATAAAACACTGTTTAATTTTGGTATTTTATATGAAAGAGAGACAACAACAATGGGAAGCTTGCATAAATTAAAACATGGACATATGTGTCACTCCGACAGCAAGAGGGTTAACCAGCCATAAGCAGTTGAGCTAAGGAAGTTCTTCTTTGGCTCTGTCGGTTAGTCTCAGCACTGACTTGAAATAGAGATCCCAAGTTTTAGTCCCGGAGGAGACAATGTGATTTTCTAATAAGAATCATGCTCTCCTTTTACATTTGGTGTCGGCTATAAACCCATGGTGGTAAGAGATGATATCGAGATAAGTTTGTGTCTTATTGGTATGATGACTTGAGGAGGGGAAAGAGTGATGGGCTTGCTTCCCATGAGAGTAAAGATACTTAGCTAGCCGTAAGCAGTTGAGTTTGGTAAGTACTTATTAAGCTTAGTCAAGCAGAGCACTGAGATCTAGGGTCCATGAGGAGACAATGTGATTATCTAATAAGAATCATACTCACTGGTTAAACAAGATACAAAATGTACATGTAAACATGGTAAATGGAAATTGGCAAGATAAGGAGAAAACTTATTAACTTAAAAAGTATAAACATCATATATCTATTTATACCTGATCATGATGAGTATCTGATAGAATTGTGTTTTTTTTTCCTTTCAGAAAGAGACTCACCAGAAACTTATCTACTCTGGAAAGTTATTGCAAGACCATTTGTTGTTGAAAGATGTAATCAGACAGGTAAAATCTATTGTTACCGTGATAAAGCTTGTAAAAAAGTAATTTACACATTTGTATACACATTTTGCAATTGTATCTTTACAAAATTTGGAGATATATCCTTATGTGCTACATAAATATAGTACATTTGTTTCAGTATAATTGACTTTCTTCGACATATATTTATTTATCATACATGTATGTAGTGCTTCCTAGGCACATGAAATGGACTTGTCTCAAGAAAAACTTTGATGCAATCTGCCAAATCAGAAGTCAAAATTCTGAGAGTTCTGTATTGGGAATGTAGTTTTAGACTCACCTGGCCCAAAGGGAAAGTGTGATGAGCTTCATGTATTTTCATTATGGTCATGTTGGTATACGTATCTGCCATTTGTTACTTTTACAAAAATCTTTTCCTTTGAAACTGCTTGGCAAATAGCAACCAAACTAAGCCACAATCATCTTAAAGTATTTTTGTGTCTGATAACCCTACCTGACAACCAGCATGTTTGTGAAACATACTAGTATGTACATGTCTAAAATTAGAACAGGGCTCAAATGCAAGTAAATATATGATTGACTCCTTATAGGAGTTGTTACAATTTTAAGATATTTTTGCAAAGTATTTCGTGTACAGTATATGAGGATTGCATGATACCTGAAATGAATATAAACTGTACATTAGTAAATGGTTAGTAATGTATTATATTGAAAATTATAATCGTGATAATTGATAGACAGAAACTATGTCAAACAAAAATGATCAGAAAGAAAAGATTTTGGCTGGAACAGTTTCCATTCAAGTGATTCAACACAAATATTCTATAAAATGTATGCAAAAATTTCAGATGAGCAAAACAGCTCCTTAGAGCCTCTGATTTTTATCCCTCTGCTACGTTATGCCCCTGCCAAAGCGGAGGGGGCATTAAGTTTTACCCTTCATGCCCTTGTCCGTACATCCCAAAATTTGTTTCCATTCTCTAACTTTAGTTTGCCTCAACCAAATGTTATGAAACTTATACACAGTGACAATGCTTGTTATAACCACAAAACACAGATCAAGTTTGAATTTGGGTGGTGTTACATTTATCTTTCTAGAGTTATGTCCCTTTACAAATGGAAAAATTGCTGAATTTTTCGTTTTCTGTTCTCTAACTTCAGTTTACCTCAACCAAATGTTATGAATCTCATACACAATGCTTATTACCACAAAACACAGATCAAGATTGAATTTTGGTGGCGTCGCTTTTACCTTTTTAGAGTTATGCCCAAGGGTCAGGAAACGGTCATATTGTGACCGAAACTGAGAGCAATTTGTCCTGAACGGAAGATTGGTGTTTAGGACAAAATTTTTTTTTTACAGATATAATTTCGGTCATTTCATTGAGATCTTGTTTCTAAATCGCCATTTTGCACTTGTTTTTGTTTTGTAATCCCTTTCCTGCAGTAAAACTGCCTCTCCAGTATAGCATGATAATCCTGAGACCATATTAAAGGCTCCGGGAATTATTTGATTTAATTTAGGTAGAAAGTAATTTTTCACGAGTTACACCATGTGCTTTTCTATACTATATAATACGCATGCATGAAATTGTCTTCACCAGACAACATGCCAGATAAGACACTTAATCGTGAAATGCAAAATGATTTTATGCTAAATTAAGCGAGTGCAACTATTATCTGTTATATTCAAATACCTTTAAAGGTAATAGTATTAAAAATCCGGTGATTTCCTGTCAATTTGATAAACAGAACAAATTCCGGAAATGAAACCGGAATTATTGGTACTTTAGTATTGTCGCAAACTTCCGGTTTTAATTTCTTCTTCAAAATCGAAAGAAACATTAGCAATGTCTGAGAAATTTACCATTTTGAGTCATTCAAATCATTTCAAATTTACACAGTTGCATTCCATAAACCGTTTTTGAAAGTTTTTAGAAAAACGGTAAGAAAATTCATTAGGTAAATGTGATCAAACAGTCAATACAAGTTCGTTGTTGCTATGAATCCAGTGTGATTATGACAAATTGAAAAAAAAGGCCCCAACTTTTTAAAAGTCTTCTCAGACTGACCGAAATTGTGTGAAAATATTTCCGTATCCTTGGTTATGCCCCTTAATAACAAATGGAAAAAATGCTGAATTTTTTGTTTCCGTTCTCTTAACTTAAGTTTGCCTCAACCAAATGTTATGAAACTTATACCATGTGTATACATGTTATACATAATTATTATTACCACAAACGATCAAGTTTAAATCTGGATGCCAGGCGTCACTTTTATCTTTCAAGAGTTATGTCCCTTTACAAATGGAAAAATTGCTGAATTTTTCGTTTCCATTCTCTAATTTTAGTTTGCCTCAACCAAATGTCATGAAACTTATACACAATGCTTATTACAACAAAACTCAGATCAAGTACGAATTTGGGTAGCTTCACTTTTACCATTCTTGAGTTATGTCCCTTTATAACGTTATATGCAAGTGGGGGCATCACCTGTATCCCATGGACACATTCCCCATTTATTTCATTATTCAATTAAAAAACTCCTAGTCAATTTCTCGGTCATTTGGTTCAGTTTTGAATCAATGACTAATACAATGTAGATGATGCACTGTACCAATACAAAATATCTGTATCATGGAGTGAATTGAAAATGAAAAAAGACAGATCATGTAAACTTTTAAATATACATGTATGGTTGGTACATGTACAGTGTAACTTTTAATATACTTAATTTATATTTGTGTTGTAGGATAATACACAGACACACCACACAGTTCATCTTGTGTGCAATCATGAATCTCAAGAAAGGGTATGTTATCTGCATGTATCTTTGGAAATAATATGTCTTTTGTAAGCTTTCGCCTTTTTATACGGCCGCAAAAAAATTTTGTGGTCGTCTATTGGTATGACATTGGCGTCGTCGTCGTCCGAAGACACATTGGTTTTCGCACTCTAACTTTAGTTTAAGTGAATGGATCTTTTTGAAATTTTACCATAAGGTTAAATACCACAAAAGGAAGGTTGGGATTGATTTTGGGGGTTATGGTACCAACAGTTAAGGAATTAGGGGCCAAAAAGGGGCCAAAAATAAGCATTTTCTAGTTTCCATACAATAACTGTGGAACGGTGTATGGATCTCTCTGAAATTATACTACAAGTTTCCATACCACAAAGGGATGGTTAGGATTTGCATTGGGGGGTTATGGCTCAAACCGTTTAGAAATTAGGGGCAAAAAAGGGGGAAAAACAAGGTTGTCCTGGTTAATGGACAAATACTTTAGTACAAAACATTATTTAAAGCAGTGTAAGGGAGATAAATCAAATACATCATTGAAATTATCTCACTTACACTGCTTTTAAATTATGTATAAACTAATGGTTAATGAACAATAAAGATAATTTAAAACAGTGTTAGGGAGGTAATCCAAACACAACGTTTTGGTTACTTCCCTTACACTGCTTTTAAATTATGTTTAAAGAAATGCATATTTATAAAGGAAGACCAGTAAAAATATCTGCAAATGTTGCATCTTTTTTTTTTTACAAAAAAATCCATATGAAAGATTTGACACTATATTTTTAATTCTATTATAAAATAGATTAAGTTAGCACTATGGTAAATATAAATGGGTAATTATGGTTGCCAACTCCATTGGAAATTTGAATTTGAGATTATGACCATATCTTGAGGGAATGAATTTTTTGGGGGAAAAAAGGGGGGGGGGATAAAAAGAAATTGTTGGGGGTCAATTTTTTCTCATTTCAGATTTCAGAAATTAAAAAGAATTATTCTTCAAATATTATTTTTTTTTCAAATTTCAGATATTGAAAAATTTCAAGAAGTAATCTTTAATTGCACAGTATGGCGCATTAGATTTGTAAAATCACATTTATTTATTTGTTATGCAGAATCTAACAGTGTATTTAGATTTTTAATTTTGGATCCAGTTTTCAAATTGGTCTACATTAAGGTCCAAAGGGTCCAAAATTAAACTTTGTTTGATTTTAGCAAAAATTGAATATATGAGGTTCTTTGATATGCTGAATCTAAACATGTATTTAGATTTTGGATTTTTGGCCCAGTTTTCAAGTTGGTCCAAATTGGGGTCCAAAATTAAACTTTGTTTGATTTCAACAAAAATTGAATATATGGGGTTCTTTGATATTCTGAATCTAACCATGTATTTAGATTTTTTATTTGTGGACCCTGTTATCAAATTGGTTCATATTGAGGTCAAAAGGGTCCAAAATCAAACTTTGTTTGATTTCATCAAAAATCGAATTATTGGGGTTCTTTGATATGCCAAATCTAACCGTGTATTTAGATTTTTAATTTTGGGTCCTGTTTTTTAAATTGGTCTACATTAAGGTCCAAAGGGTCCAAAATTAAACTTAGTTTGATTTTAACAAAAATTGAATTCTTGGGGTTCTTTGATATGCTGAATCTAAACATGTGTTAAGATTTTTGATTATGGGCCCAGTTTTCAAGTTGGTCCAAGTTGGGGTCCAAAATTAAACTTTTTTTTATTTCAACAAAAATTGAATATATGGGGTTCTTTGATATGCTGAATCTAACCATGAATTTAGATTTTTTATTTGTGGGCCCCGCTATCACATTGGTTCATATTGAGGTCAAAAGGGTCCAAAATTAAACTTTGTTCGATTTCATCAAAAATTGAATTATTGGGGTTCTTTGATGTTCCAAATCTAACCCTGTATTTAGATTTTTGTCGAGCCTGCGACTTTTGTCGCAGAAAGCTCGACATAGGGATAGTGATCCAGCGGCGGCGGCGGCGTTAGCTAACTTCTTAAAAGCTTTATATTTTAGAAGGTGGAAGGTCTGGATGCTTCATACTTTGTATATGGATGCCTCATGTTACGAAGTTTCCGTCAGTCACATGTCCAATGTCCTTGACCTCATTTTCATGGTTCAGTGACTACTTGAAAAAAAAGTTCAGATTTTTTGTAATGTTAGATTCTCTCTTATTATAAGTAATAGGATAACTATATTTGGTATGTGCGTACCTTGCAAGGTCCTCATGCCCGTCAGACAGTTTTCACTTGACCTCGACCTCATTTCATGGATCAGTGAACAAGGTTAAGTTTTGGTGGTCAAGTCCATATCTCAGATACTATAAGCAATAGGTCTAGTATATTCGGTGTATGGAAGGACTGTAAGGTGTACATGTCCAACTGGCAGGTGTCATCTGACCTTGACCTCATTTTCATGGTTCAGTGGTTATAGTTAAGTTTTTGTGTTTTAGTCTGTTTTCCTTATACTGTATGCCATAGGTCTACTATATTTGGTGTATGGAATGATTGTAAGGTGTACATGTCTAGCGGGCAGGTGTCATCTGACCTTGACCTCATTTTCATGGTTCAGTGGTCAAAGTTAAGTTTTTGAGTTTTGGTCTTTTTTTCTAATACTATATGCAATAGTTCAACTATATTTGGTATGTGCGTACCTTGCAAGGTCCTCATGCCCGTCACACAGTTTTCACTTGACCTCGACCTCATTTCATGGATCAATGAACAAGGTTAAGTTTTGGTGGTCAAGTCCATATCTCAGATACTATAAGCAATAGGTCTAGTATATTCGGTGTATGGAAGGACTGTAAGGTGTACATGTCTAACTGGCAGGTGTCATCTGACCTTGACCTCATTTTCATGGTTCAGTGGTTATAGTTAAGTTTTTGTGTTTTGGTCTGTTTTTCTTATACTGTATGCCATAGGTCTACTATATTTGGTGTATGGAATGATTGTAAGGTGTACATGTCTAGCTGGCAGGTGTCTTCTGACCTTGACCTCATTTTCATGGTTCAGTGGTCAAAGTTAAGTTTTTGAGTTTTAGTCTTTTTTTCTAATACTTTATGCAATAGGTCATCTATATTTGGTGTATGGAAATATTTTATGATGTACCTGTCAGTCTTGCAGGTTTTATTTGACCTTGACCTCATTTTCACGGTTCATTGCTCAGTGTTAAGTTTTTGTGTTTTGGTCTGTTTTTCTAATACTATAAGCAATAGGTCAACTATATTTGTTGTATAGAAGGATTGCAAGCTCTAGTACATGTCTGCCTGGCATTGTTCATCTGACCTTGACCTCATTTTCTTGGTTCATTGGTCAATGTTTAGTTTTCTTGGTTAAGTCTGTATCTTAGAAACTATAAACAATAGGTCAACTATATTTAGTGTATTGAATGATTGTAAGGTGTACATGTATTTCTTGTTTGGTTTATATGACCTTGACCTCATTTTCTTGGATCATGTTAAGTGTATGTGATAGTTGTAGTAAAGCTTTATATTTAGGACTATCAACATAATATCAATGATTAGTAAAGAAGGCGAGACATTTCAGCGTGTGCACTCTTGTTAATTTCGGGTCCCGTTTTTTAAATTGGTCTACATTTAGGTCCGAAGGGTCCAAAATTAATCTTAGTTCTATTTTAGCAAAAATTGAATATATGGGGTTCTTTGATATGCTGAATCTAAACATGTATTTAGATTTTTGATTATGGGCCCAGTTTTCAAGTTTGTCCAAGTTGGGGAACAAATTTAAACTTTGTTTGATTTTAACAAAAATTGAACATATGGGGTTCTTTGATATGCTGAATCTAACCATGTATTTTGATTTTGGACATTGGACCATAATAGGTAAATTAGAAAAATTCAAGTTCTTAGGCCACATTCTTTCTGTGTCAGAAACCTATGCTGTGTCAAATATTTTATAACAATCCAAATTCAGAGCTGTATCAATCTTGAATGTTGTGTCCATACTTGCCCCAACTGTTCAGGGTTCGACCTCTGCGGTCGTATCAAGCTGCGCCCAGCAAAGCATTTTATTTGAACTTATGGTGACCAAACTTGAAGTATAACAATTTAGTAAATAAGTAAAGTAACTATAATCCTAAAAAGAACATCACATACATGTAAATGTAATACAACATGATATTTGTAGAAATTAAATCAAAATTATCATGAAGTATCCTCATTTAAGATATACATATTCATTTGCTATGACCAACATGACCAAAGGCCTGTCACATGTCTGTTGTAGATTAATGAACGGAAAATTATAATACATTTCTATAGAAAAAATATGAATTAATTATTTGAACTGCTAACAGCTTAGACAAACATCTAGGAAACTTATTTGAGTATAGCGGTAATAGTTACCTTAACATGTTCTCACAATGACAATATAAAAGTAAGTACGATTGCCAATAAGACAACTATCAAACACAGTTCATAAAACAAGTTCATTAGTCCTGGACTTAAAGACAAGAATCACCTATTTCAAAAAAGGATGCTTTCCAAGATGCATTAATTGTATAAGCAGGGTTTTAATATTAGCATTAATTTCACTACAATTTTAGTTCTGACCAGAAGACTGGAATGATGTCTTATGGCTTTATCATGTTGTTGATTGAAAATCTAATAGTTAGAACTCTGTTCTCTAAGCCTCTAGATTCTAATCTTATTCAGTGAGTGTTATTATAACCTAGGTAGACAAAGCTGCTACTATGGTTATGCTTTAAGTTATGGTACATGTGTATACATGTACATTGTATATATTTAAGTGTATGCACATATCAATATCCAAAAATCCAACAGAGTAACACCTATCAAATTGTAACACCAAAAACACAGTATAAAGACAAGGGTCATGGACTCTGGAGCATGAACCAACATAACAATATCAACCATTCACATGTGTATCGTTTTCTTCAGATATCCCCCCAGTCTGTGTCTACAGCATCACCAACAGTAAACACAATGCCAAATACAGAAGGATTGCGGTACAGAAATAATACGCCAAGCGTTCAACAAAACAACTATTATGGGTTGGTACTTATTGTAATGTTGTTACACTTTTTAACAAGTAGTCATAAGGTATGGCTGTTCCATTTTGAATAGAATTGCAAACCATTAGGAAGTTAAATAAAAACTTTTCTATGTACATTTGTACATGCATAGCAGCCATTGAAATTCAACATTCTATTAAGAAATCACCACATTAAATGAATATGAATACAGGTAGACATGGTAGATGTGAAGTAAAGATGTCAATGAGACAGAAATTTAACCCCCCCCCCCCCCCCCCCCAAAAAAAAAATCTACAAAAGACTGTCTACTGTGTGTAACATTGTAAGCTCTAAATTGTCCTAAGTTATGAATATATTTAATAGAGACTGGAGAAGATCTGTAGGAAAACAATGAATTCGTGAAAGCTCTTAAAGTGAAAGTACTTATAAAAAATCAATTGTAGTCGTATATTAAACTGATTAAACTGTAAATAAGTGAATTGATTTTAATCCTCCCAAAATACAAGGCAAAATGATAAAATAATACTTATACTTACGGTATTCATGGTATTAGATGTATATTAAAAAAAAGTGAAAACGTTTTGATCTGGTACATTTGACAACATTTGAATGTTGTATACATTTCTTCATGTTCTTATGCCACTTTCTGACAAAACTATTGGTTTAGCTAAAACCAAGAAATAATTATTTATTTTTTTCTTTATTATTTCAATTAAGTTTTACCCTTGTCCGTCAGTACATCCCAAAGTTGGTTTCTGTTCACTAATTTTAGTTTGCCTCAACCAAATGTTATGAAACTTATACACAATGCTTATTACCACAAAATACAGATCAAATTTGAATTTTTGTGGTGTCACTTTAACCGTTCTAGAGTTATGCCCCTTTACAAATGGAAAAATTGCTGAATTTTTCGTTTCCGTTCTCTTATTTTAGTTTTCCTCAACCAAATGTTATGAAACTTATACACAATGCTTATTACCACAAATTACAGATCAAGTTCAAAATTTTGTGGTGTCACTTTAACCGTTCTAGAGTTATGCCCTTTACAAATGGAAAAATTGCTGAATTTTTCGTTTCCATTCTCGCACTAAATTTAGCCTCAACCAAATGTTATGAAACTTATACACAATGCTTATTACCACAAAATACAGATCAAATTTGAATTTTGGTGGTGTCACTTTTACTGTTCTAGAGTTATGCCCCTTTTCATTGCTGAATTTTTCGTTTCCATTCTCTAACTTGAGTTTGCCTCAAACAAATGTTATGAAACTTATACACAATACTTATTACCTCAAAACTCAGATCAAGTACAAATTTGGGTAGCGTCACTTTTACCATTCTTCAGTTATGTCCCTTTATAACTTTATTAGATATGCAGGCGGGGGCATCATCTGTGTCCATGGGACACATTCCCTATTTATTTTTTTCTTTATTATTTCAATTTGCAGAGTCGGGAAACTCCAACAAGCAATAGCTTCATGCTATTTTCAAAACTTTCTGTTGCGTCCTTACAATGAACTATAAATTTCAAATCTAACTGATGTTTTATTGTCATTGAATATTTTAAAATTACTGATTATCAAACATAAATTTATTTATAGAGCCGTACCCAGCACAAGTCAACCCCAGCCTCAGCCTCAGATGATGTCACAGGCAGGTATGACACAGGAACAATACATGGTGATGATGCAGACGTACTACAACCAGATGGCAGCACAGTACATGCAATAGTAAGTACACAAGAAATATTTCCTTACAAGGGCAATTTTGCCGCAAATGTTTTCAAGTTCAGTGAAGTTTGGGTTGAAAACAAAACAAAAGATGGTGGCCATAATCTTCAAATTTGTTGGTGATATGAACATTTGTGACAATTTTTTAGCAAAATTTTGAAAACTAAAAGTTAAAACACTTGTTTAAAAAAATGTGATTTAAGATTGCATTCTATAGGTCCAATTTACATGTATATTTAAAAACAATAAAATCTGAACAGATTGCCATTGATACAGTGGTCATCCAAAATAATGGACTTAAATTAGGACTTAAATTAAATAATCAATGATCTGACTAAACACTAAAAAATGACTTGATCAAAGATATCTGAATGTTTGCATATCAAATCATATTATTCAAACATATACAAGGTACCAAGCTATGAACATGATGAAATAGCAAATGGTAAACTAAACTTATGCACAGACAACTGTTTATCATGTTATTGTGGATTCATTATATTCATGGGATACAAATTTAGTGGATTTCATGTGTTGTAGGTGAAAAGTAAAATAACAAAAATACCGAACTCCAAGGAATTTTCAAAACGGAAAGTCCCTTATCAAATGGCAAAATTAAAAGCTTAAACACATCAAACGAATGGAAAACAACTGTCATATTCCTGACTTGGTACAGGCATTTCCTTATGTAGAAAAACATGGATTGAACCTGGTTTTATAGCTAGCTAAACCTCTCACTTGTATGACAATTGCATAAAATTCCATTATATTGACAACAATGTGTGAAAAAAACAAACTCACAAACAAATTTAAAAGTTCAACGAACTACAAATTTTCTATTCATGATATTATCTGGTATGCTAACTTTTGTTAAACCAGGAAATCGAACTTCCACGAACATACGACTTTTCCTGAATCCACAAAAATAAACCAATCCACGGTATATGATGCTACAGGTCATACTATTTGTTCAATAACTTAGGTTTTTGGAAAATATGTTTATTCTTTTTATTTTAGCTATCAGACTGGGGCGTTTCCCGATATGGCCAACATTCAGATAGCAGCACAAGATATCACACCACAAAACCCCCAAGAACAAGTTCAGCCAAACAATGGCCCAATTCAACAAGATGACAACCAAAATGTTATCCTTGATGCTCGTGGACGTGTAGTGGAAAACGTAGATAATGATGATGAGTTCGGACAACACGATTGGTTGGATTATATTTACACATTCAGTCGATTTATGGTTCTCATCAGCATTGTGTATTTCTACTCGAACTTCACAAGATTTGCTGTTGTTGCACTGTTTTTCTTCATTGTATATTTGTAAGTAATACACAGTTATAGTTCAAATTCTTTTGAACATTATTTACTGATATTTATTTTTGAAAATGAAGTAATTACATTACATTTCCTTTTGAAAAAATTAAATATGTCAAAAGATTATTATCAAGTTAAAAGTGCAAGTTTGATGAAATTATGACTAGATAAAACAATGATAAGATTTTTCATGGTATGAAAAAATTTATGAAATCTTATTAAGTGAAGAAATTTTCTAAAATATAATCTTGGTCTTATACATGTTAGAATATGTGAAGAATATTATAGAAAATGCTAAAAAAGGCATCTAACTTGTTATTGAAAAATAATAATTTGGAAACAGTAATTTTTATTCAAACTTCTTTTCTATCTTTTAATTAGGTATCAAACAGGATTCTTCAGAGTAAGGCGAAGGCATCCAGTACAACGTCCACCACAGGAACAAGCACAACAGCAACAAGAGAATGTACAACCTGATGTTCAACAGGTATTATTTGCTACAAGATTTGCACAACATTTAACTTCCTGTTTATCTTATACTAATAGCAAGGATATCATTAGCTAGCAATAACTCAAAGTTCGACTTGTTTGGTTCAAAATAAAGGAACTACCTCTGTCAATTGATCTATATTTTGAGGAAGCAGGGAATTAAATTCTACACATTTTTTACTACGAACTGCAAGTTGTGCACAACAGTAATTTGCTTTTATAACACCAATGAATCCAATTGACAGCAAATTCTATCATGATTATCATTTGGATTTTATATTTTTACACAAATTCAAGGCTTTATGTCACAGTATTTGTGTTTGAGGAACGAACACAAACTCTACTTGGACAAATAAACATCATTCAGTTCAAATTCATAGTCCAAAATATTTAATTGTAAAATTCATCCTTCGGTTCCATTTTTCCTTCAAGAATGAATTAAAAATAGACACATTAAGTTGTTTACTTTGCATTTTGTTTTTCACCTAACAGTGGCATAGCTTGTTGCTAGAGCATCCTCTTTGTTTCCATAAAATTATCTAATATTGGACCTTTTCTCACCATTTTCATATGGGGGAGTATATATCCACATTCATTTATGTCTGGCAATGCCACTGTCTAAATATTGAATTGTAAGTTCATTCAATATATGACCAAAACGAATATTTTTTTTTTCAGAATGATAATAATGAACAGCCAGAACCTACAGAAGAAAGTACTCCACAAGAACCTCCCAAACCTAGTGTCATATCTATTGCCTGGTCTTTCTTCTCAACCTTCTTCACATCATTGATCCCATCGCCACCACCAGCAGTTAATGCTAACTGAGGGATAAAACACAATATCTTGAATGTACACAAACAATTCCTGTAACAAGGACATCTTATAGTAGAATTGTGTATAAAGAGCTACATTTTCTGATTCTAAACAGTTGAACTGTATTCTGGTCATGAAAAACTGCAGAAATATTCAGAGGAATTTATATAATGTATTTTGGTAATGTTCAGAATCAATAATTTGTATTAAGATTTCGGAAGATAGTGGTAATACATAAAGACTGTGTTCTTCATTTTGAAGATTTTTTTTTATAAGCTTTTCATCATTGTTGAAGGATAATACTTTAGAATGAACACAAACTCATAACACTTTTTCAAATGAGTTTAACGTAAACATATGAGCAGTTGAAATATAAAGTATTGTAAATATCAATTGTACAATGTACTCTTAAAGGAAATTTTATCTGTCTGATACAAAAACTATGAAATCCAAGGGACTGGAGCATGTCTTATAATCAAGAGTATTTCTTTGAAATCCATTCTATGAAACAATGATAATTTTGTCAATTCATTTATAATCAGCCAAGCTGTATAAAAGTCAAGTATTAATTGCAGTGTTGATGGGTTGTATTTTGATAAATTTTTTTATTATACACATATTGTTTTGTCATTCATAAAAAAATCATAAACAGTTACTTATGTACGTTGTAAGCAGCTCTACTTTAAATTATCAGTTTATTTATATCATCACAAACTGATGAAGATTCAAAACTTTTTTACAATTCAGGTATACATGTATTTCAAAATTGTGAAATTTGGTTTGAGTTTTTAAATGATAAAGCTTCTTGTCTGAAAGTGAACCTGCCTTGATGTTTTTCTTCTTAGGGCTGTTCCATTAAATTATATATAGTTCTCAGTGAAAGCACTTTGATATGTTGACCATCTATAGAGGCAATTTTAGAATTTTACTTACATTTTCACTTTACAAAAAAGTATTTGACACCCTTACATGGTGGAGAATTGGAAGTGACTTTCTCGGTCCCATGTGAGTTTTTATGGAATAGCCCATATATGAAAAGGGCATTGTTTTATAAATTTTTATAAAATTTATTGTGATAATCTGCATATTTGATGATGTTATCTACCTTGGTTATTTTCATATATATTATTAAAAAATCATTTAGTTTATAAATGTTTTATGTTAATTTTTTTGTCTGTTAATTACTAAATTGGAGATTAATATTGTGTTAGATACTAATTTTGTTATTTCCTTTTGAGATTTTTTTTACTTCATTTAGTAGGAAATAGTATGATTTTGTTCTATGGGGAAAAACATTTTTATTAAAAAAAAGAAAACATTTGATTTCTAAAATTTTCCATAATTATGAAATTTTATCATATATAAATATGATTTGATGATATTATTTTGTTACTTACATATTGCATTCAATTGTCATTATGAAACTTAGAAGTTCAATTTAAGTTCAGTCATCATTTTAAACATTTCATTAGATTCAACATCAGCAGATTAATATACAATAACAGTTATTCAAATTATGATAAATGATAATGTACTTTATCTCATGTGTCAAACATGTAGGTGTAGATTGTATGTAATTCAAGATTTCATGTAAGTGATTGTAATTATTATTCAACTTCATTTACAAATATTTGTTTTCAAAGGATTTTTGGTAATGGCGCTTCTATACTAGTTGTCAGTCTTTGAAAGTTAGACAAAGTAGTTGCTAACAAAACACATAAATTTAGTTACTTATCAGAATTTCCACTGAAAAATAAAATAAAAAATATTCAAGAATTTTATAGCCAAAACAGATTGCAGACACCTGTAAACACCACTTTGTATAGCATTCATACATCTGCAACTATTTCCCTTACAATAAAAGTTGTTCGTAATTTATAATTAAAAAATGTGGGAGGTGTCTATATGAATATTCATCATTTCCTTATGCTTTAATGTTATGTGTTTTTTTTTGTTATGTTATTAAGATTATCTGTTGCTTGTTAATGTGTTTGTTATGTACATATGTATAAAAATATAACTGCCAAAAAATGGAAAGAAATGAAATCCAATATATGTATGCTCAGTATGCTAAAAATTTCATAATAAGCTTAAATTTGGCACAGTGCTATGCAAAATACATATTTAAAATTTAAATATAGTGCATATTTGCATATTTTATATTCTTTGTACTATTTCATTAAGTAATTATGTTATTAGATCAATAACTCATTTATACAAAAAACCAATGCAATTGAAATTTATGTTTTCGAAAACTTCATGGTCATTTTCATTTTTCAGAAAAGACAAATATATATACATTGTTTGAAGAAAAAAGTTTAAATTATGCACAATTTTAGCATAAATCTACATAATTAATGACTTTTGTAAACTACAGTTATTCTCATTCAAAACAGAATTAAGAATAAAGATAAATGTTTTTGTATGTACATTTTAGGGATTTACTAATTTATTGAAAAGAATTAATCTGAGCATTTGAAAGTGATATGTACATAAATGTATATAAAATGTAAATAAACATTTATAGATTAATATATGTAAATACAGTTGAATCTTGTCAGAAACTCTGTCAAGTTCTTGACTAAATAAAGACAAAACTTAAGTATTAGTCTTTTAACTTTGAGATTGTCAGCTGTCACATATTTTAGAATAGAAAAGTGTACAATGACCTCTTAATAATACACAGTACACTTTGATATCACACTTTCTGGTGAAAAATAATCCACAATCCAGAAAATTTACTGTAAAAAATCACCCATAAGGTTTAAACTAAAATGCAATGTCTGTATACTGAAAAATTGCAACGGTTTAATACATGTAGAATTTAGTGATTTTGTCAGTATGATAAACAGATATAACGTACTAATCTTTGAATTAAACTGTCCTAGATATTAGCAGAAATATATTCTCAAATTGACAGTATGAATGCCTAGAATATTGAAACAGAACTAAGATGGCTCTTTCTTTGGAGTTCTACATAACAAGATTCAACTGCATGTCATCTCATATATGAGAAAATAATGGTGCTTTAGTTATGGTTGAGTGGTTTTTCTCTTATCATTCATTTACCATCATTTTTGTGATTCCTAAAGAATTCCTAGATGTAGATAGTATTATCAGAACTTTAGAACCATGTGGGAAATAAAATTTTTTTAAATATAATTATTTGGTTTTTGTCTTGCCTCAGCGAAGTCGAAAAAGCAAGACTTACGCATGCAGTTTTTATAAGTATTGGCATTTCTCATTTCTATGGAGGTTATTTGACTCTGCACCTTCAGTCATTTATTGTTTATTGACCTTGAATAATTTGCATAGTTGACATGTTAAATAATGGCCATTTTAATTTTAACATTTGCATTACACTGTCAAATATACATCAAGACAAGACATATATCTGTGTCAACAGTTTATTATTCAATTTAAAGAAATATTTAATGAGCTAGTCATATGTCGGACTACTAAAAGCATGAAATTAGTTCCAGTATCTATTGTCTTCCCATCAGAAAATAATCTCGTATATATATTTACATGTTTGTGTAGGTAAAAGATACTGCACTGAAAGATGATATTTTCTGTGTTATAGTTCATTGTTTGGCTGTTGTTCATTTCTCATCTACCCCAAATCATGGTAGAATCTTGTTCAAGTGTTTATCATAGAGATATTACCAATTTCGCCTGATTTATTTCATACCAGGGCTAGTTTCTAAAATTCTTTCAACCTTTTGTTAAATTCACATATAGTAGATTCAAATGGGTACTTTAAGGTTTTAACAACAGTTTGGTGTATTTTAGAACATGTGACAAAAATTTTGATTCCTAAAGATGGCTGAAAACTGCAATTTCGGCAGTTCTGGAGTATATATCCAAAATATGTATCAGATGGACATTCTTTACCTAAACTAAAATTATGTCTGAATTAGAAATATATTTTGTTCCAATACAAATTGATAAATTTTTGTAGAGACATCCTTCGATGCAAATTTTACAAAAACAAGTAAACTTTGCAATATTGTGTTTAACAGCAATATGCAGTGCTAAAAATTTTTTTTATATTTAATGGAAATACTGTAAATTTAGAAATTTGCAATGTTTTTATTGCGAATTATTGCAATGATAGGTTTTATAAAAATAAAACTCCCATTTAGAATTTTGATGGCACTATTTGTATGCAATATTTTCTAAAATCATAAAAATCATTACATTGATAATGTGTGCAAGAATATCAAATTGACAGACTGTTTTTATATTCGAATGCTTAGTAGTAGGTTTTAACAACTTTTGAATTCAGACAATGTTGGAAACAATACAGGGGCAATGTTTAGGTGCAGTGGATCTTGAGTTACTTTTAACAGTCAGGGTAAAGTTCAGGATCAAGGTATAACAATCTTAACATTACATATATGAAGGCTTGTGCAATTTTTTACAAACTTAGTATGAATATTAATTTTTCAGCAGAAAACTGAGACTCCTGTCAAACCTTGCCAATAACATTCATAGAATGGATTTGATCAAATTCTCAAACTTGATATACATAATCACTATTAAAGGATGACCTAGCAATTTTCATGGCCCGAGTTGAATGAGGTCTTAAATGGTCTATATTTTATTCACAAAAGAATGATTGAACCGCATGTCATCTCTGTTTTAAATTTTTGAAACTAGTTCTTCCACTCTACACTGGTAACAAATCGTTCTCTTAATATTTTGTGAATGGGTCTCTAAACAACTATTCAACATAATGCTGACTAAAATGTTTGTTGAATATAGAGGTAATAAGATTTGATTAGACAACCTACAAGTTGGTGTGTTAAGGTCCCACTATGCCATAATAGAGTTTCATTGAACTTGTTACAACTTTTTTGTAATGATAAAAAAAAATATTCTCCGATGTACCTAGGGAAGAAATTTTCATAGGTGGCGGCGGGTGCCCCAATTTAAAAAAATTCAAATTAAGGGTCAGAGGTCAAGTCTGCAGAAAGGTATTAAAAAAAGTCTTGAAGGCACAAAAAATTAACGTTTTTTCTTGTCTAGGACTTGTATGTCTGTATATTGTATTAATAAATATATACCATGATACTTCTTTCATCAGGAATATTATCAACGTTAAAAATTATGCTAACTGGAAATAAACACAGAAAAGTCAGTCAATAATATATCATCACACAGCTTCATACCGAAAATTGGGTTGATACATGTATTTACAATTATGACTAGAAGTGCAGACAAAACCTTTTCATGAAATTTATTAAACGGGGCAGTGTCCAAGCAAAAATCAGGTCATTTGCAGGCATGACAATAATAATCTGGACATTTGTTGCATTTTTGAGTGATGGTTGTGTGTAAAAGCAATTCCTGACCACTAAAATTAACCTTAAAAGAGTTTCAAAGAATCTAGAAAGAGAACTCGTCAGTAACCACAGCTATTTGGTTTGGAAACTGAAACTATCTAAGTGTGAAGACACATAGAGATCACTGATGTTAAACTGAGGTTATCAAGATGCTTGATTTCTAGATTGACAACATTTTCTTTTTACGTTTGGTGGACGTGTTTTTCAACAAACAATCGACATTCCTATAGGAACCAACAGTGTTTCTCATGTTGCCGACTTGTTTCTTTATTCATACGAGGCAGATTTCATATAGAGGCTTCTCAAGATGAATGAAAAGAAGCTAGCATTAGACTTTAATTTCACGTCCCGCTATATAGATGATGTCCTCTCACTACATAATTCAAAGTTTAGTGATTATGTTGAACTCATCTATCCCATCGAACTTGAAATAATAATAATAAAAAAAAACCATCAACGATACCAGGCTTATGATAAAGGATACAGCATATACAGTTAGAAGTTGACGTTGAGGGAACATAACTTTACGACAAGAGAGATGATTTAAGCTTCCCAATTGTGAACTTTCCATTTCTAAACTAGTTATTCTTATTCAGCACAGAATTAAGAATAAAGATAAATGATTTTGTATGTACATTTTAGAGATTTACTTATCTATTGAATAGAAATAATCTGAGTACATCCACTTTATTTGAACTTTGGTGAATAGTTGTCTCATTGGCAATCATACCACAACTCCATATTTTTATGTTAATATATATCTTCCAGTTGATACGATATTCCGGAGCTTGCATTTTCTGTCAGGATTCTCTTGATAGAGGATTGATGCTTACAAAGAAGCTATTAAAACCAAAGGTTCCAATTGATAAAGTTGAAGTTATCCCTTCAAACAAAAATACGAGTTTGTTGACAGTTATGGAATATCTGTTTCACAGATGAAGATGGATGTGATCCAACTGTCGTAACCTCATTCCTGCGCTCTTTTCCTCGAACATAACACCAACAAATTTTAATGAGGAAAACGACGGGTGTCACATGTGGAGCACACTCTGCTTACCATTTCACACAGCACCTGAGACCACCCCGCTTTTTGATATGGTTCGTGTTGCTCCGTCTTTAGTTTCTCTAGTGTGTTTTGTAGACTATTGTTTGATATTTGGTAGTTTTTTTTGCTATAACGTTGTAAATTTGTCTTTGACTTGTTTGTTTGAATATCCCTTATGTATCTTCCGCATCACTTTTAAAGCACAAAGTCATTTGACAAGCTCATACCTCAAAATCTTACGTCTAGACAAGATGTAAAGGAATTCAACAGAAATTGACATGAACACGAAATCCCATGAATAATAAATATATATAGTGTGCAATCAGTGAAATATCTCATATGAGATCCACAAACTTTAATCCTTGTTAGTTTAGTCTAATGTGTACAAAACGCTGCACACTAAAAAATCAACTAAAACAGATGCTTATTATCAATACCGTAAAGACACAACAAAAAGTTACGCGAAATACACTCGATGCTACTGTTTCTAAGAATGTCAGTCATAGTTTTTTTATCTGATGACAAAAACAATGGTTAAAAAAATACTATTTTACAAATTTTGCTGTAGTTTACAGGCATTTCAAACATTAACAAAAACAAATAGTTTAAGAAAAGCTGATGTTTATAGATCCCGTAACTTTAGATACGATCCAAGATTAATTATCAATTTAGCATCGTAATAAGATCTTTGAATATTGTTTTTATCGGTACAAATATTGAACTTTGTTATCAATAAAATAGACATAGCTAAATATTATTGTTATACACCTATGCACATATACGGTCCTTCATTCTGTCGATACTTATATTTTGGCATTTCACGAGATCATTTTTTCCGGGTCTCTTAATGACGCCTTTACCCTAAGGCCATTGGACGTGTACTAATTGCTATTCAAGTCTTGGATACATGATTTCTTTTATCAATTTTTATTTGCTTTGAACTAGCATTCAGTAACTACGATTACTCTCCGGTTGGTTTCTGATGTCTGTTTTTCTGTGTCAATCTGATGAGTCAAGCCTTTTTCGACAGGTTTTTGAGTTTTTTGTTTGTGCTGTTACACCACTGTCCCAAGCTAGGTTAGGGTTGGACATCCACAAACATGTTTGAACCCGTCACATTCTGTATTTGTCCGTCCAAAGTCAAGAGTCAGTAATTCAGTGGTTGTATGTTGCTGTATTTCATATTTGTTTTTGTCTATAATTGTTTTGTACATAAATCAGGCAGTTATTTTTCTCGTTTGAATTGTTTTACATCTGTCATGTCGGTGCCTTTTCTAGTTTGCTATGCGGTATGGGTTTTGCTTACGTTGAAGGCCGTTGACATATAGTTGCTATCTTCTACATCATTTGGTCTCTGGTGGAAAGTTAACTCTCTGGCAACAATACCAAATCTTTTTATTTTTACAATATAGATGAGTCCACAATAAATGTAACTCAAATATTCTTTATTTTGCTACTTTGATTATAAAGTTGGCTGTATGTGTGAGCCAAAATTTGTTCCTGTGAAAAAAGGTCCAGTGGAACTTATATCACAGGAAAAATGTTCTGGGAGAACTTTTTCACAGGTAATTTCTATATAATTTGTTCCATCTCTATAAAATAAGTTCCACACTTTACCTGGTGAAATAAGTACCGGGTTGATGAAATTTGTTCCTTTCCTAGTGAAATAAGTTACGGGTTTATGAGATTTGTTCCTTAAAAAAATTACCTGGTGAAATAAGTTCCTTGTCTGTGAAATATGTTCCACTGGTTATATAAGTTTTATCTTATATACTGAGCATTTGTCATCAGTGAGTTTAAAGTTATCATTCAAGTGCATTATAAAAATAAGTATTATATTAATAATATAATAGATAAAAAGTGTAAATCATCCAGTTTGGATCCTATGGAGTATGGCAAATGTTTAATTATATACTCTGTAAAAAATATCTAAATGACACTTTTGAACCAGAAAAGATTAGAATAAGAAAAATCATTCAAAAAAAAGTATAGTTTAAGAGGAACATATGTACTAATTTGAATTGGACAAAGTGACTTGATCATTTATAAATATCAAAAGACATGTAGAAAAAAAAGACACACTCTTTTGAAACTGTGCCATGTCCTAAGTACATGTATGACTAGAACACGGGGTGATGACAGTTAACAGGAACCAAGGAGGAATACCGCATAAAACATAAATACAAATTATGATACATTACCATCGCTTTTATTTCTTATCTTCATCCTATAGTTACAGTCATGCCTTCAATTGCAAATGTATCCCATGCAAGTACACTCAGTACAGCATTTAGCTAGCATTATAATTTAAGTGTAACAAGAAAATGTTTCGGTGTGCAATAATGATTGAGCGGAACTTATTCATTAGTTTCTATGAAATATTTGGACAAAAAATTAGTTCCGGAACAAATTTTACAGTGCTGGAACATATTTTCTATGATATAAATTCCGGTGGAACATATTTCCTATGAAATTTGTTCCGGTGGAACAAATGTTACGCCGGAACAAATTTTTTGTTACATATGTCCGTTTTATTATTATTATAAATTAATATAAGTCAATTCTTATAATTAATAAAATAAATTTAAACAAATAATATTGTTTTACATTTTTTATTTATTAAATATAACCACTTTTCTATCCAACCTATGCAGATGCAACACCAATTGCCCCTGGAGAATCAGCCCTTATGGGTGGTAAAGCTATTTTTGATTCATCTTTGTCCCCCGAATATGGCGCAAATTTCTTATACCATTTGTCAAAACGGAAGTTTGCTATCGGCATTCGATCATTGACTTTTACAAATATTTTCAACATAATTATTCTGCATTCTTGAGATACAACTGGCTTCCCCGGAAATATTACTTTCTGCTGTGTCTGTCTAAGAAGTTTCTTGTGATTGGAATCATCAAATGGCAACCTTCCATACACCTGTAAATGTTAAATCTTCTTAGTTTAGAACGCACACACACAAACAATTTATTGGCTAAACTTTAGCCACTTGATATTTTTCGAACAATACCTACAGACATTTAGATTATATGTTTTCTGTAAACAATCCAGATTTTTACCTACTTCATCAATGAAGTATATAATTTTCAACTCACTCTTAAACCTTGATATGAACCGATTATCAGGTTTCTATATTGATACTGTAAACTATCAGATGCGAATCACAATATGTACTAATCAAAGTACTGAAGTACTGAACATCGGATGACCTCAAGTTCTTGTGGATTGCCGTCACAAGCACTTGTCTCAGAAAAAAAAATCACATCTCTATACCTGAATGTGAGGTTATATGTTATGTATTATATACAGAGATATATTTTTTTCTGAGACAAGTTCGTGCGTGGATGATGAACAAATGACAGGGAATTCAACCTCACCGTAATAACTATTTTATTGTAGCGATACAAATCAGTATACTCTGGTTTGTTGTTATATATCATATTAATATTTGTATAATTTATAACAGTTACATTTATATATAATTTTCATCCATTTGTATATCATTCTATTCTACTATTCTAATAATAGTGCAGTGCAAGTGAGTGGTGGACACTCTTCTGTAATAATTTGATTTTTCTAATAGATTGGATTTGAGTAGGCATTCATATTTTCCCGCAAAACGTTCTTCAGATATTCTTCCGCATGCGTTAACACAATTTTTCTGTACATTTGCATAGATATTAATGTTTTTTTACTTATATATATATTTCTAACGACAAAACATTTTCATATTATTAATTTATGTTCTAAAAAAAATGTTTTTATGAGTATTCATTGAAGAAATGAATTTATAACAAGCGATAAGGAATGTTATTTTGCACTCGATAATGTCCGCGTATTTTTACGATCGGTTACCAGTCAAAGAGGAAAGTCAAATCTCTGTGGCAACAATACATCGGAATGCCCTTACGGTCATCGCGATGTAAAAATCGTAAAAAAACAATAAGGCAAGTGCAGATGACCAAATTATAGATAAGAATTTGATATCAACATACAAAACATTCATCCATTTATATGTACATTTTTTTAACCTCGTATTTGGTTAACAGGATCATTAAAACCATTCTATAAAAATAAAAGAGATAAATTTCGACATATTACAATAGTGAGCTGTTTCTGAAAACTGGTTTCGTCGATCAGTACAAGACTTAATAAGTTTTCAGAGGACTAGATAAAAGAAAACCAATGCGGCTTTTGAGAAGGCTATTCTTCAATTGACTGCATGTTTTCTTCTAAATTCCCTCTTTGAAATCCTTAGGTGTAAGATTTTTGCGCTTTCATAGACTTTGAAAAGACATATGATACAGTGCATCGTATGTCTCTGAGGCATAACACGATCTTAACAACATAAACGGAAAAATGTATACTGTAATTTTTCATATGTATCACAATATTAAATCTTGTTTTAGAGCTAATTTCCTAATGCTTGTAGCTTGAGCAAACGTTTATACAAACAAATCAAGCAAGCTAACCAAAAGTCTCATTCTGCAAGCATTAGGAAATTAGCTCTAACATATAATAACCAAACATCGGACTACTTATAATGCAAAATTGGTGTCAGACAAGATGAAATTTTGTCTCCTATTTTATTTTCCTTCTTTTTAAATGGTCTAGCGAACTTTTTAAACAACGAAAGAGTTATTGGCATAGAAAATATTAGTAGACACCTAAATAAAGTTTGGAACTTGTGTGGAGTTATTTGTGATTCTATACACTGATGACACAATGATACTAGCGGAATTGCAAATGGGTTGCAATAATCTTTGATTAAACTCCACAAATACTGTTGTACCATGCGCTTAAAAGTATACATAAAAGCAAAGACAATAGTCTTCAGCAAAGGAAAAACTCATACAAAATCTGTATTTCAGATACAACGGAACACCTATAAAAATTGTAAATGACTTTAATTATCTAGGAGTAATCTTTTCAAAAACTGGGTTTTATTGTTTTTAAAATAATGCTGGATTAAAACAAGCATTGGGTTTTTGTTCAGATTGGCTTATTACTGTTGAAAACATTTCAAACGAGTGTGGTTTATCATGCATGTATCATGCAACAACCACCCCATATTGACAAACAGCTTAAATGTGAGATTAAAACAAGACTAGAAGATCAATTCCAACAGACATGGATAACTAATGTTAATAATAGCTCTTTAACTATAGATTACCAAGGAAACATTAACTTTCGAAAATTATTTTAACATATTTTGTTATCAAGATAATTATGTTCACATTTCGTAGATTTAGGACTGTTAATCATAATATTCCTTTCGAGAGTGGACGATGGACAAACATTCCAAGAGAGAATAGGAAATGTCGCCTATGTAAAAGAGACATAGGCGATGAATTTCATTATCTTATGATTTGCAAATTCTTCACAGAAGATAGGAAGAAAAATATCAATATAAAATATATTATAAACTGTAATGTTCTCAAATTCAAAAGTCTGATGAATTTGTCAAAATGTCAGAACTAAAGAAACTCTGTAACAATAATATTTTAGAGAAACGGATTCTCTCTGATACTCAAATAATTGAGTAAGCGAAACAACAACTACATTGTCCACCATATAGAGTTGTATTGTCACCTGGGAAGGACTTTCATTTCTTGCCTGATTTGATTTAAGTTTGCATAAAGGCTCACAACTCCTATTAAGAATTTAAAGGAGTTATATTGAATTGAAACAGAAAAACCTTTTTTACATGCGATTGGACCTTTGCAATCATCATACAATAGGTGATTATTTTAAATTTAGTAACTTTCAGTTTGAAACATCAAATTCATATATTTTAATTTCATACGTACACTCTGGTTTCAGAGTAATTTCATGTTATACGGATAGTTACTTCAAATGTACAAAAAAATAATAAGAAAAAGAACTTGAATTGATAAAGAGGGAACGGTGATATTTTTGAACAACATATTTCAAGCAAAATAAAAAAAATCAGACCTTTCAAAAAGATAAGATTGGAGAAAGTTACAAAATACAACTGACTGCAAAAACCTCTACTAAGCAAACATCTTCATCGCAGTAATTTCACAGAAACGCTACAGTTAACCTTCACAATTGTTTTAAGTCGCGAAAGGGTGTATGATTCTTAGAATGATAGAACTATAGGGAATACAAGTGCTCAGCTAAGAATACAGATTGTAGACCATGCGCTACTCTTGGAAATACAACCTCATTTTAAAACCAATACCTTTCAAATTTGCTTACCATTGTAAATAGGACGACACCCATACTCCAAACATCCGCAATCATTGGATCATACGGAGATCCTTTTAAAATTTCTGGAGGTGCGTATGCGTAGCTTCCGCAATATGTTTCACTAGGTTTAATTTCTCCTAATTTTCCTTTTACAAGTCTCTTCGCAAATCCAAAATCTGTGACCTTCAAGTTTTCATATTTATCAAGCAACAAATTTTCACATTTGAGATCCCGATGTACAATTCCTTTACTATGCATGTAGCCGATACCTTGTGACATTTGATAAAACCATTTTCCAGCAGTTTCTTCTTCTATTGCTTTACGTGAACGTATAACATCTAATAAATCAACGTGACCACATTCCATCACTAAGAAAAATCTTGTCGTCGTCTCTATCACTTGATAAAATTGAATTAAATACGGATGCTTCAAAACTTTGATCACATCGATTTCTCGAGGTAAAAATTTAGATAAATAGTCTTCTGGCGCCTTCCTTTTTGAAATTATTTTGACCGCTACTTCGTGTTTTCGGTTGACATCATACGCAGCACGGACACATGCATATGATCCTTGACCTAGAAATTTTCCTACTACAAATCCTTGTGACTCCAATACTTGGAAACGCTTATGTAGAACTCTGCTTTTTGCAGAGGTCACCGAAATAGACTCTGCTGGTGTTTTCACTCGACTGTCTTCTTCATTTCTCATCTTTTCAAATTTTACTATTAATAAAGTCCATATTGATGTTTCTGCGGCCAAGAGCATTTTTCATTGTTGAGCATAGGAATTCGTGCAAAGGAGTCATCTTGTGGTAACAGACATATGCAAACGTCACAAGCGGTACTAAGGACGTCTTATGGTATATATCACAAACGTTGGGAAGTCAACCATGTTTAACGTCATCATTAAAAATATATTATACAGCAACATCGGCGGTAATCTGACAAGAGCCCGATTGATAAAAAAACAAATTGACAAGAAAGGTATCGCAAAACGGTCTATGCGAGGACATTAATTGCTAGGTGGCGACTGGCGACAATAAATATCGACAACATTTTGAATTCTTTGGTCTGTTGTTGATCTTGTCGTTATTTATTTTTTTATGCCCCCGCGACAAAATGTCGAGTGGCATATTAATTTACCCCTGTCCGTCCGTCCGTCTGTCCGTCCGTCCGTCCGTCCTGATTATGATACATTGTTTGTCCGGCTATCTCCTCCTACAGTTTTGGAGGTACAACTTTAATATTTTGTAGGATGTTCATACACATAATGAAGGTGTGCATGGCCACAGGATTTTGATTCTTTTCAAATATTCTGACAATGACAGGTAGTTGGACTTAGTCATTTTTTTGGTACTAGCTGCATAAAGAGATCATGGTTTGTCCGGCTATCTCCTCCTACAGTTTTGGAGGTACAGCTTAAATATTTTGTAGGATGTTCATACACATAATGGAGGTGTGCATGGCCACAGGATTTTGATTTCTTTTAAATATTCTGAAAATGACAGGTAGTTGGACTTAGTCATTTTTTTGGTCAGGCGGGGCATCATTTGCGTCTTACAGACAGCGTAACAATTTCAAGTTGGTTGCCAACATCACTGTTTGTCAAATCTAAAATATGTGGAACTATACTCATGCATAAGGCAGAGCAGAAAAGGAGGGGGGCATTGCCCATATCTAGTTTCAATTCTAGCCTGCTTGAAATACTGTTGTTTATCATGAGTATTGTAACGATACAATTAATAATTCTCGATACGTTCTCTTGTATTTCATTTCAAGATTGTGGCGCGTCTACGATTTAAAATGTTAAATTCACTGTTTCTGGGCTGCAAATCTAAGTTGTATCCCTTTGCACACCAACAATACTTGTTACCACATAAACAAAATTGCGCTAAGTTGTGTAGTTTTCAGTATTTATGTAATCGTACTAAATCTTCTTTGCATGGAAGACAATTTCTGTATTTTTAAATCTTACATGTTTTTGTCAAAATCATAAGATATACTTCTTACTCAAACATTTCACTTTGGTTAGGTATGTGAGGCACATATCTTTATTTTTTTCAACATTCAATACATCTATATAAAAATAAGAACATATGGTATGATTACCAATGAAACAACTTTCCACCAGATACCAAATGACGTAAAAGTTAGCAACTATATGTCACCAGACGGCCTTCAACAATGAGCAAACCCATACTGCATACCTTGTTATATATAAAAGGACCCGATATGCGAAATGTAAAACAATTCAAACGCGAAAACTCACGGCTTGAATTATGTAAAAAAAAAACAACAAAAAACGAAAAACAAAGATGATATACAACAACAATTTTTATAAGATATCTCATAAAATATTTAAGATATCTGCTATGATTTATATCTATCTATTTATTTATTTATTTATCAATGAAAAGCACATTTATACCCTTATGCTGAGCCTGAGTCAGCTAGTATAACCATGTGATTGTATCGCAATCTCGGCAAATTATAAAGAATAACAACTTGTGTGTGAAGATTGTAGATTATAATTCCACCAGAAGGGATACAGGAGTTTTTACAGAGTGTGTATTGTTTGGTAAATTGACGGTGATTTGTCACAATATCCTCAGGATCAATTTTGTCGTGTCATCCATTTGCGATTGAAAGGCGAGGAAGAGAAAGTAAACGGTAGTGAACATACGGATAAGTCCAGATTATTTCCGGAAAATATGCCGGAATGTCTGAAAATTCAATCCAATCGACGTTATAGTAAATATAATTGCAAATGTGATCCAGCATAACCCTCAAGGGATTGGAAGCATATATCAAGATATCTTATACTATTTCTAAGATATCTCATATATGAGGGTCTGGATGGGGGAGGGGTCCTTCGTTTCTGTATTCTTTAATTTTTTATGTCATTTTTCTCCATTCTTTATATTTTTGCCCATGATTATTCTCTATTCTCTATACTTTAGCACCTCTTTATTCTCTATTCTCTATATTTTAGCACCTCATTATTCTCTATTCTTTATTTTTTTGGTCCATTTTCTCTATTCTTTATTTTTTTGCCCATTATTCTCTACTCTGTAAACCCCCATCCACACCCTCATATATTTTAATGGGATATCTTATGAAACATGCAAGATATTGAATGTCGAATAGATATTAATACAGCAAGTTATAAGAATGTCCAATAAACAATAAATCGTATATGAAGTGGTTCGACCAGAATGAGTCCCGGGAACTTTAGATTGTAACTGGTAAAAAAGGGGACAGACATTTTGCCTTGCAACAGACAAAAAATGACCCTTCAAAGCTTTGTTTCGTAGTGTGCAGCAAACATAGCAATATTTCTTCACAAAGACGATTCAATGATAGTGTCTTTCAGAGGCGGATTTAGAGGGTTTTTCAGGGGGCCCGGGCCCCCCTTTTGGGGAAAAAATTTGGTTGATTATATAGGGAATCACTGAAGCATGACTGGAGCGGGCCCCCTCTTAGGCAGTCAGTGGGCCCCACTTATGAAAATTTGTGGATCCGCCGCTGTCTTTCATACATGATATGTCGATTTCAATCACCATAGATATATAAATGCTTTATACTTCTATGTTTCTCCTCGGAACCACCTCCCCCTCGCCCTCCCAAAAAAAAAACCAAAAAACTCAACAAACAAAAAACAAACAACAACAAAACAAACCCTCTCTTAACTGTTGAAAATAAATAAATGGCTAAGTCATGATTTTATTTTTATTTTTAAAATAATACGACCGACAAATTGAAACAAAATTATTTGTTTATTTCATTTTATCATTGAAACTGATTCAATATTCAGATAATAACTTTTATTTATTAATTATGTTATCACTCGTCTGGACTAACTGTTCAGAGATAACGATGATTATCAGACAAACAACGTCTGGATCAACAGTTTACATTTTGACACCATGCAATACTATGTATTCTGCGTGTTGCTTTTACATTGTGTTATATGTTTGGGTGAGTATTTTAATAATTATAGATTAATAAAAGCTAATTTTCAAAGGGAGGAAATACATAAATTGAAGACTGCAATCGTGTTTTTGTTGTTGTTGTTGTTTTAGTTTATATTTTTAGCTCACCTGACCCGAAGGGTCAAGTGAGCTTTTCTCATCACTTGGCGTCCGTCGTCCGTCGGCGTCGTCGTCGTCGTCGTCGTCGTCCGTCGTCGTTAGCTTTTTACAAAAATCTTCTCCTCTGAAACCACTGGGCCAAATTTAACAAAACTTGGCCACAATCATCATTAGGGTATCTAGTTTAAAAAATGTGTCCGATGACCCCGCCAACCAACCAAGATGGCCGCCATGGCTAAAAATAGAACATAGGGGTAAAATGTAGATTTTGGCTTATATTTCTGAAACCAAAGCAGTTAGAGCAAATCTGACATGGGGTAAAATTGTTTATCAGGTCAAGATCTATCTGCTCTGAAATTTTCAGATGAATCGGACAACTCGTTGTTGGGTTGCTGCCCCGGAATTGGTAATTTTAAGGAAATTTTGCAGTTTTTGGTTATTATCTTGAATATTATTATAGATAGAGATAAACTGTAAACAGCAATAATGTTCAGCAAAGGAAGATCTACAAATAAGTTGTCATAAACAAAATTGTCAGTCGACCCCTTTAGAAGTTATTGCCCTTAATAGTCAATTTTTAACAATTTTTCGTAAATTTTTGTAATCTTTTACAAAAATCTTCTTCTCTGAAACTACTGATACAAATGTAACCATACTTGGCCATAATCATTATTAGGGTATCTAGTTTAAAAAATTTGTCCGATGACCCCGCCTTCCAACCATCATGGCCAACTTAGTTAAAAATAGAACATAGGGGTAAAATGCAGTTTTTGGTTTATATCTCTGAAACTAAAGCATTTAGAGCAAATCTGACAGGTGGCAAAAATGTTCATCAGATTTAGATTTATCTGCCCTGAAATTTTCAGACAAATCCGACGACCCGTTGTTGGATTGGTGCCCCTGAGTTAGTTATTTTACAAAAATTTTGAAGGTTTTTTTTATTATCTTAGATATCATTATAATATCTAATACTATTAATTATGATTTTAACCTTATTTTACATGATTTCCAAAGCATCAGTAAATACAGGTGAGCAACACAGGCTCTTGAGAGCCTCTAGTTTTATTACACTAGACACATTGGAAGTGGTCAGTCCATTCAGACACCTTTTCCCGAATGTCTGTTGAAATTAAAAAAAAAATGCTCTGATGGAACTGAACATAATTTGAGTTAAAGTTATCTGAATCAAGCTTGCTATTTCACTCCGGCAATTTTGCAATAAATATGTAACAAAGACGCATAGAGCCAATTTCTCCTGTATGTATTTGTTCTCAAAGAGACAACTGTTGACAAGTGGAATCTAAAAATTAAACATTCTATAAAACAATAAACTTAAAAGATTTATCAACATATATATTTATATCCATAAAATCAAGAGGTGTTCACCCGTACACATTGCAGTTGGAGCCAAAGTTAATAGAATTTTGAAATTGAGTACTTTCGAAACCAAAGTATATATAAATCATTATGTGAAATATATTACACATTCATATGCATTGTTGATGATTTGATATGATGTTAGTGGGGTTTGAAATGTTCTCAAATCTTTTTCAATATCCACCCGGTAGATGAATACTCACGTTTTATCAATTTTCTAGATATAAGATAGAATCTCAAAGTACACACATAAAGTTAAGACACTGTATTTAAGAACAAAATGTTCTAGGCTGGTTTCATTAAATCTATTTAGATGTAAATATGATATAGGGAATACTAACCATAGTCCTTTTAAGAGTCAAAGTAGAATTGATCAATTGGTAGTTGAACACAAAAGTGTTTTTCTGTAAAACTATTGCATACAGATAATCACCATTACATGTTATACCCAACGGACCTATTTTTCACTGTTCTCTATATATTGAGGATACTTTACTTTAAACATATTTTGTCAAAGCAAGAAAAAAATAACAATAAACACAAAGGTTATAAACTGATGAGGCTTTCTCCAATACAAAATAAACATTGCTTTAAACAATATATGACACAGTGCACTTAGATGAATTTGGCCATTTGTTTTAGGTATTTTTGTCATATAGCTCTTCAACTGTTTCGGTACTTATACATCCCTCGGATTTCAAATGTTTGGCATTGAGCGTTCCTGATGAAGGTAAATCCAGAAAAGCGCTTCGGACGCATGGAATTACTAAACGTGTTTTTTCCAATTTTTGACTCAGACATATATGAAATTTGTAAAGAAAAGGTTTGTATTATATGAATCGTAGTATATGGTGTTGAAAACTGTAGTTTTTATTTATTATTATTTTTTTTTACTAAAACTTGTTCAGGGAACAATTGAAATAAATGAGTTCATTATATATTTAAAATACAAAACAAAATGAAAATAAATTGAAAAGGCAAAACGAAAATATGAACTTTTGTCTGAATCTTGTATTTCAGGTAACAACATCTACGTAGATAATGGTAACCCATATACAGATCGGCCTTTAAAAGTTGGTGGACTGACACTTAGTAAAACTGGACAAAAAAGTCCTTTACACACAAAGGGTAACTATACAACTTGTATAGGCCAAATGGCAGTCAATTCTTTGACAGTCCATCACCAAGAAACAGTATAAAAATAAAGTCAATGGATCCAAACGAAAGATGTAAAGTACAATTCCCAAACTTGTTAGCTTTATAAATATTAAATTTAACTCGTAAAAGACTGTGTGATGAATTATAATAATTCAACTTTTTATAAGATTTGTAGGACATTTCATTGTTTCGTTTCTTAAAATGAATTCTTCTTTTGTGTGTTTGTTTAGGTAGAATTACTGAGTTGTTAGTTTGTGAAGATAGATTATTTTTCTCAGGGCCAGATAAAATAAACAGTTAAAATATTGTCTTTGTAGCTTATTTCCCACTAGAACCCGGATTTTATCCGGCTGTATTGTTTGTTGGTGGTTTTGACACCTATGTCCTTGCTGAGTACTATGAAACTGTATTGTCAAGGATAGCATCCCATGGTTTCTTTATTTTTGGAATAGACTACGCATTTCCAGTGGAAAAGCAAAATTTGAAAAATGCTGGGGATCTAAAACAGGATATATCGAAGTACTTTGAACAATATACATGGGTGAGTAATTAAATTCAGATTGCATGCATATAATGTATGTTAAGATATATATACTATAACAAAAATGTAGATTTTGAAAAAAGGCACTGGCATTCTAATCTGGTACCAATCCGGTAATTGGCGAATTTGACATTATTTATTTCGAGGTCATACTCAATATTTACGGGGTCAGTCATATATCGAATAAGAAAATATGAAAGAAAATACTTTCGGAAGAACTTGTGACTGCTACGTGATTTAAACTAACCATTTGAAATTTGTAAATGTTGAAAGGGACCAGATAGGTCGTTTCCGAAGTTGTCCTTTTTCTCGTAGTTGATAATGCGGAAAATAATAATAATAATAAAAAAACAGTTGATTGATTGATGTTTGCTTTATGCCGCCTCAGCGCAAAAAAACTTTATCGGGCCAGTTTGCTCAGTAAGTTGAGCATGCTTTAACGAAGTCATTAGCTTTTAATATGATTATTGCTCGGATCAATTAAAAAAAAGGCACAGACATTTCACTTTTCTCTTCAAAATGTATCTCCCTCAATAACATGCAAAATAACCAAGTTTTACCCTAACACATATCGCGCCTGTACTAAGCCGGGCTTCATAGACCATGCACATGTTGTTCGTTGTTGTTTAACTTAATTTGTATGTCTGTTTTATCTGAGGAATCGGTTGCTGATGGTTAGTGCGGTATGTTATACTGTCCAATATTATTATTAATAATTTTGTTATTTTATGTATTATTTCCTGTTAAGTTGTGCTTTGAAACATGCTATAATATTCTTCATACTGTCTGCATTTCAGCTTCAACACTACATGAAAAACAAAACGTTAGGAACAGTTGCATGGAACTCTACCGCTTTGATGTGTCATTCCTCTGGATGTGACTTAACGTTGAAAATGATCAGAGAAAAACCTATTATGTTTACGGTAGGTATGATATCTCGAATTTATCGGTCATTCACATACATGTTTATTATATCTGATCACATGGAGTAAGTAAATAACGAGATCAACAATTATCAGCCTAATTTGCAAAAATTAATATATATGGTGTATTTGAAAGTTACTATCAAAGAGCTAGTCCGCAAAATACAGCTTAGGAACTGTAGAAGTTTTATGACAATTCACAATAATCAGAGGTTGAAAAAACAGATTGATATCTGAGTGATTGGTTGATTGATTGCTGTGTAACGCCACTTTCAGCACTACTGGCTATTTCATGGCTGCATTTCAATTGAGGGAGGAAGCCGGAGTGCCCGGAGAGAACCACAAAACTTCGATAGGAAAACTGACAATCCAAGTCAATCAAGATTGGAGTCGAGCATAGGTGCTACGTGCATGGTTCGTACTCACAATCTCAGTGTTGACAGAACTTTCGGCCACCGATCAATACCTGAATAACCTTCTCTCAACAAGCAGTAAGGAAAGATATTATAAGAAGAAAACATAATAAAAAGCCTAGGACGCTAAATAAAAATTATGCACTACAAAATTAGTAAAAATACTATACTGACCTTACAAATGATTAAAATATACAAATTCTACCGAAATTGTCTGCATGTAAACATTTGCATAAATTTTAAGCCTGTCAATTATGCTTTTAATCGTAGGTTATATAAGTTTGCATATTTTGTAGTCAACAATATTTCTTGAACCAGTGAGTTTTGATGTATATGATAAAGTAGACATACGCATGCCGGCGTTTATGTATGGAACAGAACTTTCCACAGTGGGGCATCAGTGTGTTATACCAGGATTTAGTTATAATAAATTCTACGAGATCTGGGGATGTCCTAAAACTGTAATGGAAGTAGCTGTGAGTATAGGATTAAGATACTCAATGTTAAGATTTTTCTTAACACGTGGTAGACAGGAAATTTAGATGTTATAATTAGTGCTTAACAGGCCCTCTGCTCATTGCTTAGCGAACATATTGGGTCTTGCCTTATGCTGCCGTTGCTGTCGACAACTTACATGTGAAAAAGGTGACTTAGTTTCCATATAAAAATGTAATTATATGTAAAAAAGGGAACTATTTTTAAACAACTACGGTAAACGTCACCTTGCATTGATATTGTATTGGCTTCGCCTCAGTTGACAATGCTTTCTAGGAGTAGCTATTAACCTGCTCTATCACCCTCTCAGCTATGTGTTATCTTTATAATGCTGCTTCAATTGATGAATGACCTAAAAATAATAGATTATTGGCAAGATAATGAAGAAAATGAGGGCATGTCATTAACGGATAAAGTAGTTTTACTTTTGATGTGAATTTAGAGTTTCAGTTCTTTTATTGTATCCAAAAGGCTTGCTATTATGTGTCAATATGTTCATTATGAGCTGCAAAATTTCTCAAGCATTTCGATATTACAAGACAGTTTACATTTCCTTGAATGTATTTAATATTGATAGCAGCCAAGATCTATTGAGAGAATGATTGAAAAATTGTCTGCTTTTGAATATCTATCTGAATGAATGCACCAGTAATGTCTTCAAATTCAGTTTAATCTACATATATAATAAAAGATACTGTATCTGTGTACAACTGGGGAAAAATCACTTAGGTTGATTAGCGAACCTAAAGAGTTATTTTGTGATACTTATGGATAGAGTAACCCTAGTTGAAAATCATTACAACACATACTTAATGGAACCACTAAACAAAACAAAAAATCTTGCTGCAAATGGAAGGTTTAAGGAACTGGTGGCCCCTTCTCTTTTTGAAGAATCAAATATGGATTATGTATAGACCTTTTATCTTTTTTAATCATGTTGTGAAATATTAAATAAATATAAAACAAGTTTTATCCAGATAATGGCCGTGCTGCTGTGTAACAGACATAATGATAAATTATATCCTGTTTATTATCATCTGACAATGAATTTGAAAAACGAATTTTGTTAATTTTCAGAATTTCGGTCATTGTGATATATTAGATACAGTACCATGGACTGGTAGGTATATACGTCCAAGATATATATTCCCAATTTTCATTAAAAACTAGAAGACAAACATATACAATGCCGTCAACATGGTCAGCTGTGCAAATGGTTTAAAAGAAGCTAACAGAACCAAATTAGAGGAGACCATACTATACAATGGAAAACAGAAGATGGATTTTTAAAACAAAACAACCATCCACAAACCATTTAAACTAACGACTGAGTAGATAAAACAAATTTAAAAACAGTAGTCATCCATAAAATTGAGAATGGAATCCATGTTTATTCAGGGCAATCGGTTGTTTTATAGCTGTTTTATAGCTGTTTTATAGCTAGTTATGTTCTAGTTCGCCAGACTTAAACGAACTCAACATAAATTATTTATACAATAAAACTCAACACATGTACCAGAAATGAGCTCTCCTTGTGCGAGTAACATACTTTTATTATCCAATTTATAATATAACAAAAAAACAGTTCATTTTTCTTTTCGAGCACACTACGGCTCATTCTCAGTCGTTACTAAGGTATCAAAACAGTCATACAAATAAGGCTCAATCACAGACATCCAGTCAAAACATACACATATACACCAACCTACAAAACAAGAAATACAAGTTGATATAAAGCATTATAAATAACCATCACTTTCCAAATAAGAACAATAGACTGTCTAGGTGAGGGGGGCTTAATACAGACAAGGCAGTAGTAAGGAGTATGCTACTCAGCGTAAGGCAGAACTTCGAGTACATTGTAATAACATTATAAATTACATTTAATTTATATGAAACAGCAAGCACGAGAAACATGAGTCAAAATCATACAATACCTGTTTAATTCGGAGAATAATACCTGCAGTGACAAATTTCATCCAATTGAAAACCATTGTAAACATTACAGGTTTTCTAAAACACGTGTTGATGTAAACAAACACACGAGTTTTACCAAAACAAATACATGTGCTTCCGTACTATTAATAAATATATATATGCTACGAAAGGTTTAGTGACTGTCGTTTCTGCCACAATTATCAAAAGATAAAAGTTTGACAAAAATACATACAACAGTAATACGAAATAAATGACGCAGTTAAACAAATTTTAAACTCTATGGAACAAATTTATTTCAATGCGAAAAGATCATGATGTAAGTCAGACAATTGACATAAACTCAAAACGACAGAAAATGGATATTATAAAATGACATAGCTTACCACGTAATGCACGACGGTAATCTCCAATCATCTTCAACAGTAATCCGACAGTAAAACATACAATCCTGACACACTCCGAAAACATAGCAAGAATAGGTTGTGTTTGTTTCTCATAAAGGAGCTCGAATTTCAAGTAAAACTCGATAAATTGCTCGGACACAAGTTTAACACAGTGCAGTTTGGGTAAAAACAAGAATAATCATATCAAATGTGTAAAGCGACTGACTGTTGCAAGAAGAAAATACATACGATTTTTTTTGTTATTTTAACAAAAAAAGGAAGTCTAGTTAGATGCATATTTTGCTAAAATATTTTCTTATTAGGTAGATTCAAGCCAGATAAAAAATGTATAATGGTACAGCTAACTGATTCATGAATTGGAAATATAAGGCCCTTTTCACAAAATATCCAGCTATAATCAAAGTACTGAAGTACTGAACATCGGATGACTGCAAGTTCTTGTGGATGTTCACAAGCACTTGTCTCAGAAAAAAAATCACATCTCTATACCTGAAAGTGAGGTTAATGTACAGATATATATTTTTTTCTTAAGACATGTTCGTGCGTGGATGATAAATAAATGACAGGGAATTCAACCTCACCGTAATCAATATGATATTGAAGTGATACAAATCAGTATACTCTGGTTTGTTGTTATATATTATATTACTAATAATATGTGTATATTACAGTTACATGTATATATAATTTTCATCCATTTGTATATCATTCTATTCTACTATATTAATAATAGTGCAGTGCAAGTGCATGGTGGACACTCTTCTGCAATAATTCGATTTTTCTAATAGATTGGATTTGAGTAGGCATTCATATTTTCCAGCCAAACTTTCAATCTCCCATGCAGAGTTATCGGTCCTTGAGAGAGAGAGCTCTGCATGGGAGATTGCAAACTTTCTTGAGATATTCTTCCGCATGCGTTAACACACATTTTCTGTACGTGTGCATAGATATTAAAGATTTTTTTACTTATATATATATTTCTAACAACAAAACATTTTCATATTATTAATTTATGTTCTAAAAAAATATATTTAGGAGTATCCAAAAAAATATTTTTAGGAGTATCCATTGAAAAAATTAATTTATAACAAGCGATAAGGAATGTTATTTTGCACTCGATAATGTCCGCGTATTTATCATGTTTATAGATCGGTTACAATCCCAACACGAAAGTTACTCAATGGAAATCTAGGCGACAGCAATACACCGGAATGCCCTCACGGTCATCCGATGTAAAAATTGATCGTAAGTTATACTGAAATGTTCATGACGAGTATTTTCTCGTGGGATTATTTTTAGATGAGTTGATGGATGTTAAAAATCGTGGTATCTTTTATTTCAGGATGTAAAGACATACATTTTTGCACAATTACACCAAATGTTACTAAACTGCTTGAATACAAGGAATTTGTACAAGGTGCAGCTAGCAGTTTTCTAGTTAGTTCCCTGCAAGGCAGAGCAGATGCGATAAAGTACATAACACAAAAACCTCTTATACCATTACATTTACTAGAATTGAGAAGTGATCTTAACTGCACAAAGAATTAAACAGAAGTTTGCCTAGAACAATGACTTGCCGATGAATATCAAATTCTAAATACAATGATTATTTTTCTTGCAGATTAAACAACTGTTTTTTTTTATTTGTTATATTTTATGCTCAATGCAATATCAGTTCATCTGTACTTTTCTTGTTTGCTTGTCACTATTTCTTATCAACTTCTAGATTACTTTAATGCATCATCGATGTATAGAAAATGTATTTCGCAATATGAAAGTCCGAGCATGAAGAATAATTCCAACGTCATATTAAGTCTTATTAGCTTCCATAGCAACTTTACCACTAATTTTTGTCAACAAGTTAAGCTGAGAACTGATCAACTCGTGACTAATATAAGCTTACATAGTAAACTCTTCCTTTAACACAGTTTGTGAGTTTGTCGTTCGTTTACAGAGTCATGTGTTTGTGAGTGAGATAAACTACCTTCAAAATAATTTATTTTAACTTATAACCAATAGAGCTCTGTCTATAGCCAAAACAACAAAAGTTATTTTGAATCAAGTCTCTCTTCGTCTTTACTCTTAAAATTTAAGATTAAACTTTCTGGTTTTGGTGAAAAGAATCAGATTAATTTTATTAGAGAAGTTTCATTGGTCAAAAGATAAAATTAAAATTGACTTGTTATGGTTAGTTCCGTTCATAAGATTGATGCACAAGGTTGTTTAAATTTTCTCTTATATATATACCATATTTTTTACCCCAAGATTCAAATCCTAACATACCAAAGTTTTTCTGTCATAGATAAAAAAGAAGGATGATAAAAATAAATCAAAGTTTCAAACAGCAAGACAACTTCTGGTTGCAAAAATTCAGTATCAAGCAATGACTATAATAAGATTCCAAAGTCTAAGTTTGTAAAGAAGTCAAATGAATAGTTTCCAAATGAAAAATCAAGTGAAACTTTCGAACCTTTGACCCTAATTATATTTTTTATTACCAACGATGCTCATACTTTTCAACTTTTCAGACTCCAGTAATTACTTCGAACTTTTGAAACCTTCGCCCACTAAGGAATACGGAACGGGCACCTCTTACTTGCCACTAATATGCAAGGATAAACATGAGAAAAGAATAAAATCTATGATATTTGTGAAAAATTACCAGGTTTCATCAGCTCAGTAATTATATGCTTTGGCACTGAAATGTTTATACTTATTTACCTTCTTAAATTCTCCGTTGATAAGTTTAGAAATTATTAAGAATCTGAGATTCCAACTCCCTCATGCAAATTTGACCTAAGGTGGATTTGGCTTTTCTTTAAAGGTCTCTTTTGGTCATATAGCTCAAGTAGTCAAGTATATATACATCCTTGTTTTTAAACAGTTTTGATTTAGGCGTTCCTGATGCAGGTAAAGTACAAATAAAGACTTTAGTTTGACTCGGCTGGAGATCGACCTCGTAACTTCCTGAAATCGAGGTTAGCATGTTACCATGGGACCACTGAGGTATTGATTGATGTTTGAATAATGTCCAGTGTCAAATATTTCCTGCATATTCAGGAACAAAACAAAGAAACAACAATAGCAAAAGTTAAGTTCTGCAGAGTGGATTAACCGGGATGAAGATCGGGAATTTCGACTGCTGCTAGAAAACGAGAGTACCCGGTATGTGGGATAGGCAGAAATTTCGTCTTGCAACCGTCCATTTACGGACACCCAATGAGTCGTTGCAGGGGTTCTTGAACGTGCATAGGGCATGGAACTTTGCTTACGCATTGGATTTAACGTCCCCATATCGACCGGACATGACTGCGTATTTATACATCCCATACAACAAAACGGTTGCCCTTTTAACAGCATAATGGAAGATTTTAATGTATGACCATATAATTACACTCTAGTTGATATAAATAAAAGAGATTAGGCTGCAACCAAACGACAAAATAACTAAAGGACATCTTAAGGCAACAACGGTTTTCAACTGAAGACAGATTTTTATACGATATGTCAAGTTCTAAATCGTCCCGATTATATAAAAGCATAGGGGTGATTTCTATATGATATGACTTTTTTATGATATGATATGTATACCACAAAATATAATGCATGATATGGCATGCATTTTTCGTCATTTATATTACGTTATAAAAGAGATTTGCCAGAATTCAAAACAAACAAAACACTCTTTACAGGATCACTTTGCTAAATTAAAAAGAAATATAACCTAAAATAATGTCTTGTTTTGTATACAAATTACTACTATGTATCATCGTTCTAAACTCTATAAAAATATTTATGTATAAACTGAAGCCATTTTGTACTAAAATGATTTCTTTGAATATCTATTCGGAGAGTCATCAGTCCATAACTAATCATCGGATCGAGATTTAGCATTCCACCAAACTATCACAGGCACTTGTCTCTGAAAAAAAATTCCTATACACCTTAATGTGTTATATTAAGGTATATAATTTAGGATATTTTTTCAGAGACAAGTGCATTTGCAAACTACCTAAATGCTAGCTATGTAAAACACGGACATCCATATAATAATATGCAGATGTACCTTTCTGAAAGTATAGAAAAAATTAGCATGTCCGAATGAGGTAAATAATGCTATCATGTTAAAATGTGTAATAGGAAGTACAAAACTTAATTGTTCAATTTATGCCGATGATGCTGTGCTTCTTTCTAACAGTCAATAAATAAGGATTGAGTAGATGTTTAAATAAATCAGAAGAATATTGTAAAAGTTGGTGTATTCGGGTTAGTCTTAATAAGAAAACAAAAATTGTAATTTTTAACAAAGGTGGTAAAATTATTAAATTTTATGTAACTTATGTTTTGATGAAAATGTTAGAAATTATAAATATTTAGGTGTTATTTTTTCTGCTTCTGAGAGTTTTTCTACGGCTCGATATGAATGGTATCAAAGGGGTTAAATGCTTTCTTGAAGTTAAAAAAAAAAGAATTTTCGGTGAAAACATCCCGAAAAATGGTAGTTGTTTACATATATTTGACCACACGATAAAGTCTATTCTAACATATGGCTCAGAAATTTGTGGAACTTGTACTTTTAAATTTCCAAAATGCCAAACAGACAGTCTCTTTGAAATGGAGAAAAAAAATATTAGTAAGGTTGATTGCGAAGACTTAAGATTAAAGTTCTACAATTACATTCTCGGGGTACATAAACAAATCATGTAATTTAGCTGGTATGGGAGAGCTAGGGCGTACTCCATCGCACATTGACATTATTTGTTCAATTCTAAAACTTTTACAAAGAATTAATGATTAAGAAAAGGATCATTTGTTAAAACAAGCCCTGGTTAGACGTATGGACACTCACAAATGTAATAAGTCATCTTAATATTCTAGTTTTGTATATATTTTAAGATGTATTGATGTTGATATAAAAAGTGTTGACGTTGAAAAGGTTTAACATATTTTGATTAGTAGATATAGAATTTACTGGAAAAAAAATATAGATGATAATGCAAATGTTAAAAAAGGGAAATTGCGTACTTATTATAAATGTAAAAACATCTTCAAGAGGGAGGCATATTTATGTCAAGTTAGTAAATTTCAGTATCGAAAAAGCCTAACCCATTTTAAAATAAGTGCTCATCAGTTAGCTATTGAATAAAAGAATCGATAAAGATAAAAGATTTTGTGGGCAGTGTAAAAATATGCAGGTTGAAGACGAGTTTCATTTTCTAACGGAATGCACTGCATATGAAAAGAAAAGGAATTTTATTCTTGAGGAGATATGTACTAGTACTTAATGTCAAACTTCCCTTATATTTCAAAGTACGAACAGTTTATTTGGTTGATGTCTAGTGATTCTGTAAATTTTAATATATCCCAGTGTCAAGATTTATAGTATTTGTTTTGAAATAAGAGAAAATTTGCATTCCACTGACTAAATATATGTTGTGCGGGAAAGAGGGGACAGGGCAGACTAAGGCAGTTGCCTCCCCTCTCCCGCTGAAAGTTTTATGTTGTCACTCTGCTGTTTACATATCTGTGTTCACTATTTTAACTACGACAATTAGGGGGACTGTCGTTCGCGTTCTTTCGAGGCCTCCTGGTAAATAAAACAAAGATGTCTATATATATATGTTTATTTCGAGTCCAACCATAAGAGTAATTTTAATACTGACTTATTACCTTGTTTTTACGACCATTAGGGAAATCCGATTATTTTGGCACTGTGTCCAGCGCTCTAGACCACTCGGCCACCTATACTGAACTAAAAATTCAGCTTTCGGTGGCCTATTGTTACCTTTCCTCGTTAGTAGAATCTAGAGTTGTAACACAGTACATGATATATTAGGCATGAAGATGGAATTGATTGCAGATTAGCTAAATTATCTATCGTAAAGGATCGTAAGATGCAGTCACAGAAAAAACAAGTGAAACTGCAAGCTACTGCTCACTGATGATACCCCCAGCCCAAATACTTGACGGTAAACAGGAAGTTGTTGAGTGATGAATCTGAAAACGCATCACATGGTATAGCTGACTTATATAAACACTGAAACAAAATTTCAGAAATCCTTGTAATGTAGTTCCTGAGAAAAATGTGACGAAAATTTTCAACTTGGATGTGTTGTGTAAAATGATGTAAGTGTTCGGTAAACAGGAAGTTGTTGAGTGATCAATCTGAAAACGCATCACACGGAATAGTTGACTTATATAAACCCTGAAACCAAATTTCAGAAATCCTTGTATTGTAGTTCCTGAGAAAGATGTGACGAAAAATTTTCATGGGACGGATGGAATGACTGACGTACTGACGGATGGATGGATGGACGGACGGACGGACGGATGGATGGACGGACAGACAGAGGTAAAACAGTATACCCCCACTTTTTTTAAAGCGACGGTATAATTATTTGTTAAATCCATTTGATCACCAGTGAAGGTGATACACGGCTGAAAACACATATTATATATATATGTATATGCACGAAAACGGCCCTTTAATTGGATTTGACAAAGTATTCGTATTGGTATTCGTAAAGTGAAACGTTATACTGTATTCAAGATATACAAAAACGAATCAGAAAAGCATAACCAAACATTGTTATATACGTTAAATACCTTAAACCATATGTCAATAACCCTGCCGGGCGAAGCAAAGGGTTTGAGAGATTTGTTGGTTCATCTGCACTTTGATTTTGCTACCATCTTAAATCTGTAGCCTTTTGCAGCAAACTTTCAACAATATTTGGTATATTTTGTTGTTCGCGGCCTATGCTATTCAAAGAAAAGCAACCATTGGTACTATAATTTAATATATTTATTTAGTGTTCGATTTATAAAATATTCTTATACTTTGTTTCGTCACTGACCTACTTTCGAAGAGTAAACAGAAAAATGAAACAGTATTTTCATCTCCCCTAACCGAGGCAGAAAATTAAAAAAAAATGCTTTAAATGCAGGCATACATATTTACACAGTTAATTTTGTAGTTTTGTTTCGTCCTGTCTTTATCTAAGTTGTTTCATAACTAAAAATTATCATTGTGGATACACGTGTGTATACCATGATAAACTGTAAACTCTCTTACCTGGTCAGTTTAATATCAGATATCAACAATGGAGATCGTATTATTTTGTCTTCTTCTTTGTCGGAATTTGGGAATGTATGGTAAGTACTTACGCTTTGCCAAGACAAAAAGCCGTTACTCAACAAAACAAAGTAACTATTGCATAACAATAGATAGATATGTTGTTTTCATTTTTTACAGCTCTGGGTCGATACCGTTGCTGGTGGACGATCAGTCCCCGAGGGTATCTCTGCTAAGTAGTCAGTACTTCGGTACTGATATGATTTATAACAAACCCGTTTTTTAAATTTGTTTTTAGATTAAAATCACATTGTTGGCAATTAAAACCTTATGACCGAAGAGCGAAAAGTTAGAAAACTATCAAAATCGTGCGTTCAGTTTCATTAATTCTACCTTTGAATAACATTTTGATATGCTTCTAAGAACTCACATTTACTGTATGTACACACATATTTAAAATTTGTTTAACTGTGTTGAGCTGTTATCTTGTAAAAAGTATTGCTTCAGCTACAGACAGCAGTGGTTTGCACTAGAAAATACATGTAGTAAGGACACAAAGCAGCGTTGACGTTTCTAATATACTCAAAACGTTGACATATTTTTTTTAAAAAGTTGGGAAACGCATACAAAGTTGGATGATTAAAAAAAAGATGATGAAAAATTCCATAGAGAAGTTGGAGGATTCCAATTGTCAAATTAGAAACCGCAATGATCTGTCTCCGTAGTTGCGGTAAACAAAATTCTTGTTAAAAATTGTGAATAAAGAAGGGTTTTTAGTGTACGCCATATATATATCCATTGTACTCTTGTTAAAATCAGGTAGTGAGGAACATTTGGTAACAAATCCTATATATGTTGACCACTAGTTGTCTTTTGGTTATTTGAGGTGATTTGCTGTACCATTCATGTATATATATATACTCTTGACCATTAAACTTATCATAGATACCAGGACTCACATTTTAAACGCATGACACGCGTTTCGTCTACAAAAGACTCATCAGTGAAGCTCGAATAAAAAAAAACTTAAAAGGCCAAATAAAATACGAATTTGCAGGGCATTGAGAACCCAAAACTCCAAAAGGTTTTGGTTTTGCCATATACAGGTAAGGTAATATATTCCTGGGGTAAAAAATCCTTTGTATTTCGAAAAGTTCAACGTTAATCTATAATTTTGACCATATCAATGATAATTCATGTCAACACATATGTGGTGACTACAGGGCTGGTGATACGCTCGGAGAGGAAACCTCCACTAGAAGTGGCATCGACCCAGTGGTTGTAATAAAACTCATAGATTCCAGGATTAATAAACGTGAATAATAGTATGAAAAGAAACTACAACAATCAAAATCTGTGACACAGATATTATTCTGTACCGTGCCATATTACCAAGTCTTGATGGCGACCATAAAAGGTTAAGAATCATTGTTTCGGTCGCTTCTTTGTCAGCAACATGATGACATGAAATTTGTTTTTTACAGATGGTGCAATATATGTAGATAAAGGAAACCCTTATACTGATCAACCATTGAAGGTTGGGGAACTGACAATTACCAAAACAGCACAGAAGAGTCCGTTACATACAAAAGGTAATCTTAACTTCATCTTAGTTTACACATACATGAAGATGATTTAAAGTTAATCGTGATTTACACAGAAACTCAAACGTATTGAATATGCATGAAATATTTGGCACTGGACGAAAAGCAAAACCGATCAATCAAAATCATAAACAATTGATGAAAAAAGTTGCTTTTCCACAATCTCAAACAAAACTGTATTTTAAGCAAGTGAGTGTGGCAGCCATAGATTAAGAGAAAAGTGTGACCGACCAAGGCAACTAAAAATAGACAAAGGCTTGCAAAAAAAAATAACCAAAACCAATGCAAGCTTACTATAATAAAATGCAAATGTAAATCACTTGCTATGGGCTTGGTAAAGCTTGTATGATATCGATTCATAGATAAAGTTTTAATTCACTCCTACCACCAGCTATCGGTGCGGTAAATACAAAAGGTGACATAGATTAAAATCTGCTATACACTATTGCAAAATCCTTTGTTTTGCAATAGCAATCGGAAACACAGTAAAACTATCTGCTGTACACGATAGCCAAAACAATTGTTTTTAATTGCAATCATTAACACATATCCTACATATCTGTGGTGCCGACAGCCGGTAAAAGAATATGAGATTACAAATACCAAGCTTGCATGAATCTCATGAAAACTGTTGGCATTCAAGGTTCTTTAGAAGGGTTAGTATACATTGTTCCTTCAACGGCATAAAGCCCAATCGTCTTTATTACTAAGAAATGCCAATTTTACTTTCTGCATTTAGTTGTTGTAATTCTTGATGGCATATATTATAACTTTTCAGATCTTAAATTGTCATGCTAGGGCACTTCTGGTGTTTTTATCAGATTTTAACATTATGTTTACATAAATGCATTTTACAGCTTACTTTCCTCAAGAGGCAGGTACATATCCAGTAGTTTTATTCATTGGCGGTCTGAATGGATACATTTTGGTAGAATTATACGAAACAGTATTATACAGAATTGCTTCTCATGGTTTTATTGTTTTTGGGATGGACTATCGGTTTCCTGTAGAAAATGTTCACTTTGAGAAGGAAAATAAATTACAACAAGACATCTCCAAATTTTTTGACCAATATACTTGGGTAAGTTTTCAAAGTAAATACAGATTTGATCGTGGACAAACGTTGTTGTGATTTTACATCAATGGAACCCATGCAACATATGAAGATACATGTACTGTAAAAAATGAAAACAACACTATATAAATTTCATGCGCCCGAAACGCGTTTCTTGATTTACCTTCATCAGGAATGCTCAAAGCCTAATATTTGAAAGCAAAAGATGTATAAGAACCTAAACAGTAGAAGAACTATATGACCAAAAAGAACCTTAAATAATAGCGAAATTCATCTACGGTCGACTTTGCCTAAAGGAGTCGAAACTTTTTTTTAAATATTATATATTTATAAACGGACACTTTTAGAAAGGATTGTTATAAATTTAAGGAAGGGAATAACAAATTGTATTTTATCTCGTCTGCGTCAAAAGTCACAGAATGCGAGAAATAAGGATCTTAAACCGCCAACGAAATGACAATTGCGATAACTAATTGTGCAAAGTTCAAAATGTCAGAAGAAAAACTAGTAATTGTTGGAACCCCCTTTTTTACGATCAATGCTTTTGAATGGGAACATATGGTTGGAACCCCCCTTTTAAAAATGGCTGGATCCGCCCCTGGCATCGTTGTATACTTGACCATGGAAGTAAAATGAAATATAATTCTTTCATGACTTGACTAATGTCAACTGAATGAAGTTATTTTTTTTTCAGTGTTCACCCCCAAAATCTCATAAACTTTTCACGTAGTTTCTATATAATTATTCTTAAATATAAAAAAAAATTGAATCTTTTATTTTTTAGCTTCAGAATTATATGTCTAATAAAACAGTGGCTACTATAGCATGGAATACGACTGCTTTAGTTTGTCATTCTTCTGGGTGTGATGTTACTCTAAAGATGATCAAAGAAAAGCCTAAGTTATTCAAGGTATTTATGTCAATACGATATTAATCAAGTTATATAATTGTGTACTCTTATTGTGTTGTTCAAAGACAATAGGCAAGTAATGCATGAATTTTAATTTATATCTAAATACAGACTATGGACTTTTTATCGTTTCACATACATGTATGAACTTTTCTGCCGAAGTTCTAAAGTTCTTATGGCTATTCCGGCTTACTCCATCAATAAATACTGGCCTGCATGAAACAGCTAAAGTGGCTGTAAGTGGCGTTAAACAACAAAAAACAAACAAAACAAATCATATTACTTTCAGGAACGAGACTTTAGATCTGGTTCAATCACGTATATCATATACAGTTCATTATACTGATTAACATAACATGAAAACACCCGAAACAGTCGAAAGTACATAGCTATGGATACCAATAAACTCATTATAGATACCAGGATTAAAATTTTATGAGTCAGACGCGCGTTAGTCAAGAAAAGACTCATATGTGACGCTCGATTAAAAAAAATTAAAAAAAGCCAAATAAAGTACGAAGTTGAAGAGCATATAATTTTAGAACTGTAAAAATATTGAAAAATTCGGTCTAGAAGATTCACTGTGAATGTTGCCTTGATTATACAAGGAACTTTAACAATTACTTAGACAATCAATAGATAAAACTCTCACATTTTTTTCCAGTCGACCGTCTTCCTAGAACCTTACAGTCAAGACGTCAAAGACAAAATTGATATTAAAATGCCAGCCTTTATGTATGGAACACAGCTATCAGAGGAGGGAAATAAATGTGCAATTCCTGGTTATGACTATAATACATTTTATGACCTCTGGAGCTGCCCTAAAATTGTAATGAATGTAGCAGTAAGTACCAGTGCTGTTTTTTTACATACAGTTTATGAGTAAATCACATCTGGTGACATTTGATTATATTTGCTACTGGACGTTAAGCAACCAACAGTAAATCAACATTTGATTATAACAAAAATAATAACTAAAATGTCGTTTAAGTGATTATATTCAAAATAATCAGTTGGGTTTCTTTTTTGGTCATCATATTCTAAAAATGTTTAAAGATGGTTTAAAATGGTTTTGATAAATTTTGGATTTTTTTTAGTATTTATCCCCAAGATAAATAAGAGCTTTTCATAACCTAAACCAAAATTCTATTGGTAGTAATTAGATTTATTGTCTGTCAGATACAAATAGAATCCTTTTTGTCCAAATCATGTAACACTTACATGATTTATTGAAATTGTCTTAAACACCACTCAAGCAATTAGAAAGAGTGAACAACAGGATTTTATGTAAATATTCATAATTGTTGAAAAACTTTTCAGTATTTTATATAAACTCTGCTATGATATTCAAATTGTGTACGACCATCTGTTGTTATTTCGTTTTTATAAAAGGTATTTTATGGTTTAGTAAAGTTCTTTTCTTAGTCATTGGGATGGACGAAATGTAACATTATATCGACTAATTATTCAAAGAATGTGTGCCATTTACTCTTTTAAGTGTATTTATTGAGATTTTTTTATCCCGATGATACCCCACGTTATAAAAATTGGCCCCAATTTCTCGGTCTGAGAGGTCATCTCCACTACAAGGAACGTCCGTTCAGCTGTGCTGGATGCATAAATACACGTCATTTCAGAATGGGAAAGTTTAATCCGATTTATTGTTTGTTTGTTTTCGTTCTAATAGCCAATGAAAATAAATACAATCAACAGTCAATCAACGAAACACTTTCCTAAAATAAAAGATTTTTAAAACATAAGAGGCGGGACAAGGAAAGTTGAGGAACAAGATGAAAGTTTACCTTACATTTGAGTATCAAAATATACATCTCGGAGGTTTTCCACTTTAAGAATTTTAATCTTTTTCAAATTGATTTTGCTTGAAAGCACATATATTATATAGTTTTAGAGAAACGACTATTGCTTCCTGGTCTGCCATTTTGACTTTGAATAGGATGTATATATATATATTGTTTTTGGTATTTTCAGGACTTTGGTCACTGTGATATATTGGACCCTGAGCCTTGGGCTGGTAGGTGTTACTTTTTGTCATTTTAGAAAAATAACATAATGTTATTATAATAATAATGAAAGCTTTAACTTTCAATGAAATTATTTATTGCAAAAAAATAAATACTAATTATATCTTTGACCGCTTAGAAGTTCCTACATGTAATTCACATAAATAGTTGCGAATTTAAACTAACCCTATAAAGGTCTCTTGTGGAGAGTTGTCTCATTGGCAATCATACCACATCTTCTTTTTTATATAACCCTATAAATACTAGTATACAACATTATAAAACTGTTCATTAATCGGCATGTACCAGCTTAAGACGACGTGTTCGTCTGTAATCTAGTTGAAAAACTACCATGATTAAGAATTCATTTAGACAATTGACTCCGAAACTTTTACATATTACACTGGTGAGTCATTTCTGTGTGTCAACTGTATACGAATTATACGTCTAAGAGTTTCTATTCAACCAAATTGGACATAAGTTATGTATGTTTTCCAAGTATTGTGTTCAGCCCCTATATGCCTACCCTTTATTTTAAAGCATGTCGAGATGTTCACCATTGTAAAATAACAACGAATACAACAAAACTTCCAGAGTATCGCGAATTTGTACAAGGAGCAGTTAGTAGTTTCCTTGTGAATACACTACAGAATAGAACAGATGCTTTAAAGTATGTTATACAGAAACCATTGATTCTATTAAATTTGCTGGAACTAAAAACGGATCTAAACTGTACCAAAAGCTTTAACTAGTTGAAATAGTTACAGTATTGTGAAGATAAGCGTTCAGATTAAATGAAACTTTTCATCTGTATTTACGTGAGGATAATACAAGTTTGAAATTTTGAAGTAGAATCTGTAATTAATGCATTATTATATAATTACAGGATATAAAACGTTTCTGTTGATAGTATTGTTATGCTTTTTTTATTTTCCTGATAATGATGCATACAATGACAGAGTAATGTAAAATCTATGTAGGAATCATTACGATCTACAAAAGATATCAGAGTTGATTTTTCCAGCCTTACAATTGTAGAAATGCGGGTATTGGAATTTTACTACTATTGAGACTCGAGTATGTTCTTTATATAGTGAAAAACAATGTGTATACTTGTATAGTCGTCCACGATCTAAAACAGTGAAAGTATTTTGGAGCTTGTTATGTGAAATAAGAATATCAGTTTATTGATCATGGTTGTTGTTTTTTGAACAAGAAATATCATTTTCATCATTTTGGTGCTTGTTCTTTGAAAACATCTGATGCATTTTCCGGCTTTATCACTGTTATCCCAGGTTAAATGTATGCCTGAACGCTCATAAGCATTTTCAAACAAACTGCACACTTAATGTCCTTAACCCTAATCAGAAGCCGGGTTATTTTCAAATGGTTTTCGTTCCTGAAAGAGTATTTCCTTCTTCATAACATGTCATTGTCTTAAAAGAAGGTTCGTTTTATTTTTTAAAATTTTAAAATTTAGGTTACCTGAGATCTTTTATAGCTTACCTTATTGTAAAGGGTTTTGCTCGTTTTTGGCAGCACGACGATACCAAAGTGGAAATCCAAAATTATGAGTATAGGAATTATAACACCACTTTGGTCAACTAAAAAAAAGACTAACAACAGTCCACAAAACGTTACAAAGATGATTATAGGTTTGTAATAGCTCATTATCAATCATACCACATCACCTTTTTTGTATATTGTAATTCGCAAAACAGAGACAGATATAAAACTGTTTATTGTTGATGCGTAATGTGTTTTATTGGTTTCAGATTTAAAAATCACAAAGTACAAAGAAAGAGTTGTTTATCCAGTAATTCATATACAAAGATTTCTCAACAAAAGTCTTAACGAACAGTATTATCCAATATATAACGCAATTCGTCTTCATGTTTTATCAAATCAATTCGTAAATAGACGTGGAAATTTGCCACTTCTTTGATATACAGCTTCGTCTACTTCACAATGAACACATGAGTGGTTGGTGTTATGTCTGAAAACAAAGATAAAAAATTTAAATCACAGCTACGTCATCTTATATTTACCACTCGAGTACGTATATTCCGACAGTTACCGCGTTAGAACTAACCCACTTAAAATTCTGAGAAAATTGTATGAATCATTGAAAATAAATATGTAAAAATAAGTGCACCAATGGTTTTATAATTTTGGTTACCAAATACAGAGACAAATTTTCCATTCGTCCATTTATTTTTTGGTTAAATTTGTTGTTTGGATCATACTCGTTCTAACCCAGTCTCACAGTCTCTACTGGTACTGTTCCCAGAGTTTAGATTCTAAAATCTGTTATGATGGGTTTTACAAAAGGTTAAACGATTTACGACCAATTTAATCTGTATAGTTCGTTTTACAAAATGTATTTGTATATATGGATCAAAAATTTATTGTGACTCAATAATGGACAAGATACATTTACCAATCTGATTTATCACCATATATTATTCAAAGTACGTTAAAAGAGTAAAATGGTAGATGTCACTAGCGAAGAAAGTTTAAAGGATTTACGACGAACCCTTCTAAGAAATTTAGTCCTGATTTTTCTACGATTATTGTCTCAATTATATGATAATTTAATACCTTTTATGATCTTGTTTACTTTTTGCGCTGAATAGAGAGTCGTTAATCTCTCAATTCTTTCGAAAGGTTCATATCATATTGTGCAAATTTAAATTAAACTTGCTCTTTAAAATATTTGAATAAATTATGAAGAAAAAAAATCGCAATCAACACTAACCACTTCGTATTATTTTTCATAACTTGCATGCAACTGATTACCTCATATCTGTGAATAGTTCATCACGGTTTCCAACCCTACATCTACATCAACATGCTACGTCGCAATCTCCAGACAGCCAATACCCACACATAAATCATTACATCTTGCTAAATCATCTGAGGTCTCACAAGTGGCTGGTCTATGGCTGGTTGTCATACCCTCAACTTGCTGAAATACTAAAGTAACAAAAAGTCATCTTCTTTTTGTGTACACGTTTACTTGTTGAAATAAAAACTACAATTAAATCAAAATTAAACATTATAATTGCACTTACCTGCCAAAATAACCGGAAGTGAAAAATACACTGGCTTCAAATTTACGTATATTAAAAGTTACAAGTAATCACCAAAAATCGAAACCTTATAAAACACAGGTTTAACATTAGAAATAAATAAAGCATTATGATGATGTAATTTTATTTTGTCTCATTTCGGACAAATCAATCGCCAGAAGTTTACTTGCTAACATAATACGTATTGTAATATTAATTCTGTTTCTAATAAAATCATATCAAACTGTGACGTCTGTCCATATGTGGGTTAATATCTCAAATCATCGATAAATCTTATTATGGTTTTCTACGGTTTATAACTCCGAAACTGTTCTGTGTTTTATAAGCGGCCCCGGTGGCAATAGCAGATTTGACGGTCGCAAATGATATATCATTTGAGAATCGTATCGTGGAACCAGAAAAATTGATATTTCGACCGTCAAATCCGCAATTGCCACCAGCCACGTTTCCAACGAATTACTGTGATTTCTATTCTTATGTGTAATGTATACTCATGAAATGTTAAAAATTACAACGTTGAAATATGCAGAAAACGTTGTCGTTTAGGACTCCAATTATCAACCATGGAATTAACGACATTTGTCTTTTATCAAAAGGGGTGTTACATGTCAAATTGCATTCGAACTAGTCTTTTAAAGTACATGTTCTGTTAGCACTAATTTTACATGTAACTAAAATATGAAAGCCGGGTAGATAAATGATTTACGTCCAGTTGGCATGGGTTCAGTTAGCTGCAAGACCAAAACTATCGTGTAGCAGTTGAACATGATAAGCTTTCCAAACTTAACATTGTGGCACTCGTTGCTCGAATCCAGGACCAATGCACAGCTAGCCATCGCTCTATCAAATGAGATAGTAGTCCAAATAATTATGACGTCTTGAAAGGTTATTTTAATTTTATGCTGTGACGCCTTCCTACGACCAAGATCAAGGATAAATATATAGCAAATAAATAGCATACTATTATTAGATAGAATATGGTCATAGATTCATCAGTTGCCAGCTTGTTGTATTCATCAGTCTTTATTTAGTCACAAAAACGCTTTCAAATTTAATCATTATTCCTGAACATGCCACTCAAGACGAGTGAAATCTTTTGTTTGACAATGCACTTTACTTGTTCGGTTTAAAGTCATGATAGCCAATAACTTAACTTTTATGTTAAGATTTTAATGAAAATAACATACAGAATTCTGAATAGTATGCACACAATGTGAACATTCGAGTGCTTTCTACTATAAATGTTTAAACAATTAGGGTTATGATAAAATTGAGAATGGAAATGGGGAATGTGTCAAAGAGACAACAACCCGACCATAGAGCAGACAACAGCCGAAGGCCACCAATGGGTCTTCAATGCAGCGAGAAACTCCCGCACCCGGAGGCGTCCTTCAGCTGGCCCCTAAACAAATATGTATACTAGTTCAGTGATAATGGACGTCATACTAAACTCCAAATTATACACAAGAAACTAAAATTAAAAATGATACAAGACTAACAAAGGCCAGAGGCTCCTGACTTGGGACAGGCGCAAAAATGCGGCGGGGTTAAACATGTTTTTTGAGATCTCAACCCTCCCCCTATACCTCTAGCCAATGTAGAAAAAACAAACGTACAACAGTACGCACAGTAAAACTCAGTTTAAGAGAAGTCCGAGTCCGATGTCAGAATAGGAAACAAAAGAAAATAAACAAAATGACAATAATACATAAATAACAACAGACTACTAGCAGTTACTGACATGCCAGCTCCAGACCTCAATTAAACTGATTGAAAGATTATGTCTTCATCATATGAATATCAGGCACAATCCCTCCTGTTAGGGGTTTAGTATTATACCATCATAAAATATATGAGAAGAACATAACCCGTGTCATGCCAACAACTGGTTTTAGAATAAATATGTTTAATTCCGATGCAAAGACCCTATAAGTGAATCAATATTAAAGCCAAAATATGCAATCTTTAATGACCCGACAACAGTATCGTAACTATATCCCTTCTTAATAAGTCTGTTTAAAGGTTTTGTTAGCTTTTGAGGTGAATACTGACATTTTTGTGCTTTGTAAAGAATATTACCATAAAAGATTGGATGTGAAATACCCGAACGTATAAGATGTCTGCATGTTGAGTTATATTTACGAATGATGTCCTTATACTGATGATAAAATTTAGTAAATGTTTTGACTAGTTTATGATATCGAAAACCCTGGTGTAATAATTTTTCAGTAATACATAAATTTCTTTCGCTAAAATCTAATACGTTGTTACATACACGAGCGAATCGTACAAGTTGAGATATATAAACGCCATAAGAAGGTGACAAGGGAACGTCACCATCTAAAAATGGATAATTAACGATAGGAAATGAGAAATCATCTCTTTTATCATAAATTTTTGTATTAAGCTTCCCGTTAATGATATAGATATCAAGATCGAGGAAAGGACAGTGGTCATTGTTAGTATTAGCTTTATTTAAAGTAAGTTCAATAGGATAAATTTCTTTAGTATACACACTGAAGTCGTCATTATTGAGAGCCAATATATCATCCAAATATCTAAAAGTATTGTTAAATTTTTGTATCATATGTTGTTTCGATGGGTCTTTGCTGATTTTAGTCATAAATTGTAACTCATAACAATACAAAAGCAGGTCCGCAATAAGTGGTGCACAGTTAGTCCCCATTGGAATTCCGATAACTTGACGATATACGGAATCTCCATTGCGAACAAAAATGTTATCAAGTAAAAATTCAAGGGCAGATAAAGCATGTCCAATTGACAT